GCATTCTTGACCAAATCTAAACCAGTTTATCAAAAGATGTCCATATAACTTTCTGCGGTGGGGGAGCTCAGGAAGTTTCCTGTTTTACTAACAATAGTTAACATTTTTAGGCATGTTAAAATATTTTCTACCTGAATATCTTTTTTTTTTTTTTTTTTTTTAAGATTTTATTTCTTTATTTGACAGAGAGAGCACAAGCAGGGGAGTGGGAGAGGGAGAAGCAGGCTTCCCACGGAGCAGGGAGCCGGATGTGGGGCTCGATCCCAGGACTCTGGGATCATGACCTGAGCCGAAGGCAGACGCTTAACGACTAAGCCACCCAGGCGCCCCTTTCTACCTGAATATCTTACCAAGAAAAAGTCATTATTATTGAATAGTTGGCAAAATGCATCTGTTGGACTGTATTTCTTTTTTTTTCTTGAAATTTTGCTATCTTTAAAAGCAGACATTTTTGATTAGGACTTCTGGAACTGAAAATACATGTATAGTGCTGTATTGTTTTCAGAATGCTTTCACATATGTTACTGCATTTGATCCACAAAACAGCCTTTATTTTTAAATTTTTAAAATTTTTTTTGTGAGCTGGGGGGAGGAGGAGAGGAAGAGAGAGAATTTTTTTAAAAATTTTATTTGAGAGAGAGAGAGAACAAGCAAAAGAGAGAGAGCCCTAGCAGGGAGGGAGGGGCTAAGGGAGAAGGAGAAGCAGACTCCCTACTGAGCAGGGAGCCCAACGCAGGGCTCAGTCCCAGGACCCCAGGATCATGACCAGAGCTGAAGGCAGATACTTAATTGACTGAGTCACCCAGGCGCCCTGAGAGCAAATCTTAAGTAGACGCCACGCTGAGCGTGGAGGCTGATGCAGGACTCAATCTCATGATCCTGAGGTCATGACCCCCACAAAACAGCCTTTAAAAGGCAGATGAGGGGTGCCTGGGTGGCTCAGTCGGTTAAGTGTCCGACTCTTGATTTCAGCTCAGGTCATGATTTCAGGGTCCTGAGTTTGAGCCCTGCATCAGGCTCCATGCTTAGTGCAGAGTCTGCATGTCTTCCCCCTGCCCCCGCTGCTGCTCTTGAGTGCATGCGCACTCTCTGTCTCAAGTAAATAAATAAAACCTTAAAAAAAAAAAGCAGATGAGCAAAATGTTACTCCCATTTTAATTGAGGAGTAAAGAAGGACTTGGAGATCTTACGTGAATTTCCTGTCATTGGGTAATAACCAAGGGCTAAGATGAGGATACAGGAATATTCTGGTCCATTTATGCTTAAAAAGGTAGAAAGAACCAATATCCACAAACCTAGAATAGTCATAAGTATTATGTCATATCAGCAGGCCTCATCAGTTAGTAATTATAAATGAAGCTAGACATAATGCTAGAACCTGGGATTTATAAGATTAATGCTAAAATTACTTCATGAAATTGTGGCATAGTTTTACTTATTATTGCTGTATAATATACCATTCCAAAGTACAGTGGTGTAAAACAACCATCTTACTATGTTGGTGGATTTTCCCTGTTAAGAATTGGAAGTTCCAAGAGTGTGTGGATATGTCTCTACCCCAAGATGTCTGGGGTCTTAGCTGAAAAGACTTAGGGGCCGGGGGTGACTTGATGGCTAGAAGCTGGGATCATCTGAAGGCATCTTCACTCGTGCGGTGTCTTTGCTACCTGTTTGCTCGGACTCGGCTTGGCTGTTGGCTAGAGTATGTATATAAGGCTTTTTCCCCTGGTCTAGTTTGGACTTCTTTAGAGCATGAGAGCTGGGTCTCAAGAGAGTGTCCCCAGAGAGCAAGGGAAAAGTGCATGGTGCTTTTATGATCTAGCCTTGCAACTTATATAGCATCACTTATGCCATCAATTAAAGCAGTCACAAAGGGCCATTCAAGTTCAAAGGGAGGGTGATAGAGACCCCACTGCTTCATTGAAAGAATGTCAAGGTTATGAGAAGGGCATGATGCGAGATATTGTTGTAGCTGTTTTTGAAAAATAGAATCTACCTTATGGAGGATTGTTAAAAAAGGGTTTGAATAAAGTCGTATCTGACTCACGCCCCTGAGTCATGGTCTTTTTCCTTTGTCATTTGCTGCTGTTAACATAGAAGTGTTCGTGGGGTCTGTGTAGAATTGGTTTTCTGATCCCAAGTTGGAACACTAATGGGAAGAAAATACACTGCAAAACCTGAATCTTTCTGCTTTATATCCTGCCATTCTTTCTCCTGATCTGTATTAAAGTGACAGTCTAGCTAATAGGTTTACCTCATGGCACGTTTGGTGTGCTTTTGGCTGCTGTTCTGTAATAAAATTGTCTTATATAAAAATTGTCAGTGTTAATACAAATTGGATTTTATTAGCATATGCACTATTTTTTTTGTTGCTGTAAGTTCCTGGAATTCAGTTATGGTACACAGTGATGAAGTATCCATTTTTTTCATAGAAACAGGGTAGTTATTTGGTATTATTACAGAAAATTTAGCATCAAATAATAAGTTCAAAACTATGTCAGAAAAATAAAAGCCTCTGCAAAAATGTTAAGATATAAACTGCTAACATTAGGCTGCAAGTTCTGTGAATTGTACATAAATGTTGGCATATACTGACTAAGGAAGCCTTCCAGGTTCAATGTAAGATTCATGGTATATGGGTACTTTTTTGGGTGGGTTGACTCCAGTCACCCAGGCAAGGCCTCAAATACTGGTATTTACGCTGCGTGAATTGACCCAAGGTCCTGCACCCAGCTTTGCAGTAGTACAAACCTGACATTTTTGGTGCACAAGGAATGAATCTATCTCTGGGGAGATCTGTGTTAATCAAGCTGTGTTAATGAAGCAAGAATCACAGCTCTTGGGTAGATAATTTCATTTATCTATTCTTTTTCCTATTGTCATATCTTTTCCTTCTACATATCTTAAAAATCCTGTACGTATCTTAAATATCCTGCCTCTCAATGCCATTACTTTTGCTTTATTTTTATTTATTTTTTAAAAAAGATTTTATTTATTTACTTGAGAAAGAGCTAGAGAGAGCACAGGGAGAAGCAGACTCCCTGCTGAGCAGAGAGCTTGATCCCAGAACCCTGAGATCATGACCTGAGCCGAAGGCAGACGCTTAAGTGACTGAGCCACCCAGGTACCCCACTTTTGCTTTAAAGAATTATCTTTTTAAAGAAATCATAAGAAAAAAACAACATATTCTTTTACCTTTACCACTAATTTACTGTTGAGAGTGATTTTCATTCCTGAAAATTTGGTTTTGAATTTGGTATCATTTCTTTTTATCCTGACAATTTCCTTTTACATTACGTGTATTGCTTATTTGCTTTCAAAAATTCTCTTGGCCTTTGTTTATCTAAAAGTCATTATTTAACCCTGTTTTTGAAGGGTATTGAATTTTCCAGCCAGTTTTTTCTTTCACCACTTTAAAGATGACTCTCGCTTACATTGCCTTTATTCATACTGTTTTTCCCTTGTATGCAATGTGTCTTTTTTCCTTGACTGCTCTCAAGATTTTATAGTCATCATTGGTTTGCAGTAGTTTGATTTTGATGTGACTAGGTATCTTTCTTTGTATTTACTTTGTTTGAGCTTTGATCTGTAAGGGCTCCTCCTTACCCCGTGAGTTAATCAGTATTCTTTCATTATTTCCGAAACTTTTTTTTTTTAATGCCCTGTTTTCTCCTTCTGGGACTCCATTTGTACCTATGTTAGACATTTTGAGGTTTCTGGCTGGATAGACTGAGTGCTTCTACCATTAACTCTGATTGAAAATGCAGTGTGTTCACCTCTAATCTCAAAGGTTATTGAATTTGACAGTTAAGAGGTCATTGGTGCCCTTAACTGGATAGAGAGTGGGAAATGACCTTAACTGTGGGTAGAGAGTGGGAAGTGAAATCTGTACAGTAAAGAGTTGAGGAGTGAATAGGATTGAAGAAATGGAGGGACTTACTACTGTAGCTGTGTGTTTGTGTTTTTTGCCCCATACTTATGTTTGTGACTTAGCATCTTGTTTCATTTTTAGGCCGTCATAAGCCACATTCCTCTTTCTTCCCTCTTTTTTTAAATGTTCTGGGAAAATATGAGCCACTTTATGACATGATTTCTAGGCACATAATTACTCTAATAAACTGCTTAAAGAAAAGTGTTTTACTCAAGGAGTTAATATTTTTCTTGATTTGTTGTGGCTTGTGGATGGAAGGCCTCTGACATTGGATATTTAACTGGCATCTTGTTTATTTATCTTTATGTATCAGGAAAACTGTGGCCAGTAACACACACAAGAGCCATTTTGCCTTGTGAGTTGTTGCAGTACTTGTTAGGAAGCAGAAGTTCTCTGTATTAGCTTTTGCTTTATTTTGTTTTAATGCGTGCTAGAACATCATTGAATAATACATCAGAATAAATGTGTTATAAAGTTCTTTGTGAAGTAAATAGATTTCAGTTTTTAATAAGATAGTCAAAGATGACTTCATTAGGTAATTTTTTTAACTGGATATTTTTCTATATGTAAATAATTATGTATTTTCATTTGATCAACTTAGAAGCTTAAGTTTAAAATTTTATATTAACGTTTTGTGTAGCTGAATATAAAGGGTTGAAAACAAAACACGACAAAGAAATAAAACAAATGAAAGATCACCTAAATCTAGAATAGAGTTTGGGGGGCGGGGGTTAGACTTCCTCAGGTTTTCATTTGATAATGCTATAGTCAAGGATGAAACGTAATTTTGAACAGTTGTGTTATATTTTGACTATGTTATAATTAGTGTTTTAGAATAAAGACTAAATGCTTAAAATTGAGCCTGTTTTAGATTGACTTTGCTTTCATGATTCCAAGATGACTGCAGTTTACTACTACTTTATTTTGGAGTATTTTAACTATAAAAATTTGAGAATTTGACAGACTCTTGATCAGAAATGCATTGTTATTGCACATGGTTACATCCTTGGATTTGTTATCTTTTGGATATTGGATATTGGAATGTTACCTTTTTTTTTTCCCTCCCCAGTTCAAAGCAGTATTCAACGATTTCAAGAGAAGTTTTTTATTTTTGCTCTGACACCTCAGCAAGTTAGAGAGATATGCATATCCAGGTAAGAGGAATGTTTGGAATATGTTTCTTCATGAATGTTGGTGTATTAGTCTGCTAGGGCTGCCATTACAAAGCACAACAGACTGGGTGGCTTAAACAACAGAAATTTATTTTCTCAAAATTCAGGAGGCTTGAAGTCCAAGATTAAGGTGTCAGCAGATTTGGTTTCTCCTGATCTCCTTGGCTTGTAGAGTTTGCCTTCTTGCCTCACTTGACCTTCCTTCTGTGTGCCTGTGCATCCCTGGTGTCTCTTCCTCTTATGAGAACACCAGTTGTATTGGATTAGGGCCCCACCCTTACGACCTTATTCCCATCTTCACATATGGTCAGATTGGGGGGTCAGGTCTTCAACCTGCATTTTGGGGAGACACAGTTCAGTCCATAACAGTTGGACATCATTAAGCAAGCATAGTATACACTGACTAAAGTTAGCTAAATATTTAATAAACAACTCTGTATTAAAAAACAGCTTTAACCTTTGATTAAAATCCAGCTTATTTTTTTGAATTACTTTTTGGCAATAACTTTTTTTAATGAAAATTTTATTCCAGATATAGCAACATAAAAAAGAATTTGTGACAACAGCCCAACGATAGGATGTGCATAAACTTTATCATTCAAACTGAGGCACTTTAAGAGTGAAAGTAGACATCATGTTCTTATCCCAGAAAAATTATTAATAAACTGGCACTGTTCTGAGCTTTGTGGTCACCTAGACCATAAAATTAGTAGAAATCTGAAAACAATTATGAAAAGTACTCTTAGCTTTGCTATTTAGAAAAATTGGAGAAACTTAAAATAGACACATTTATAAAGAGCAAATGAACTAAGTTGTAAGAGGAAAGAAAAGGAAATATGTAGTGTATACTTTTCCAATTAAAAATATAGTCATCTTGGGGCACCTGGGTGGCTCAGTCATTAAGCGTCTGCCTTTGTCTCGGGTCATGATCCCAGGGTCCTGGGATCGAGCCCCACATCGGACTCCCTGCTCTGCAGGAGGCCTGCTTCTCCCTCTCCCTCTGCCCGTTTGTGTTCTCTCTCTTGCTGTGTCTCTCTCTGTCAAATAAATAAGTAAAATCTTAAAAAAATATATAGTTGGGGCGCCTGGTTGGCTCAGTCATTAAGCGTCTGCCTTCGGCTCAGGTCATGATCCCAGTGTCCTGGGATCGAGCCCCACATCGGGCTCCCTGCTCATCGGGAAGCCTGCTTCCCCTCTCACACTCCCCTTGCTTGTGTTCCCTATCTCACTGTCTCTCACTCTGTCAAATAAATAAATAAAATCCTTAAAAAATATATATGTATATATAGTCATCTTTGGTGTTTATAATATGTATGTGACTCTTTAAAATTGCATTCTTAAAGATTTAGTGTAAGAAAACGGAGGCTTTAGGAGGTTAAATGATTTTTCTGGGATTATAGAGTTAAAAGTAGAAGAGTTGAGCAAATTAGAGGTCTTTGCCTCCTGTCAGCTGTTCATTTGAATGCTCATCTTCTCTGAGATGTTAATAATTTACAAAAATAAGGATTCTGTAGTTAAGTTTTAGAAATTCTGTATTCACAATTACATAAGTTCTTTAAGGTTAGATTGGACTTTTTGGTCTTTAATATCTTCATCTGCCTGGTCAATCTCTCAAGATGGTGAATCCAAACTTACGGGCTTCACGTCTCTTCGAAGCACACTAACATCTTGAGGATGCTCTCTTTATGTGGAAGAGTCTGGGGCAGAGTTTTAGATTCTTTCATTAATCATATCACCTTTACTAATATATGTATAGGGTGAGAGTGCTATTGTCAAAATCTCAAATGATTGTATGTTCTGACCCTGTAAAGTTAGATCTCTCAGAGTATTGCATAGATAGACTGCCTCTTCCACAGGCGGGAGAAAAGTGTTGAAAACTAAGATTAAAAAAAAAAAAAGACCATACAAGGATTAGTTCAAGAGATCCAATATCCAGAATAATATTTTCAGAAAACAGAAAATTCAGAGGAGAAAATTATCAAAGAAGTAAAATGAATGTAGCCTGATGTGGTTCATTTTCACCAGGAGCAAGAAGATATTGCAGTGAGTTTTTGTAAATTTGGAAGTACTTTCAATCTTGGGAATAGTAATAAACCAACTAACAAATAAGTAGAATAAATTGAAAATTTTAAAATTATATTTAATTAAAGTTATATTTTATTTTATTTTATTTTATTTATTTATTTATTTTTAAAGATTTTATTTATTTATTTGAGACAGAGAGAATGAGAGACAGAGAGCATGAGAGGGAGGAGGGTCAGAGGGAGAAGCAGACTCCCTGCCGAGCAGAGAGCCCGATGCGGGACTCGATCCCGGGACTCCAGGATCATGACCTGAGCCGAAGGCAGTCGCTTAACCAACTGAGCCACCCAGGCGCCCCTAAAGTTATATTTTATATCCAAAACCTTATTAATATTAAGTTTTGTTTGTTATTCAGCGATGATCCCTTGCTTGAGATCAACGTTTACTATGTATTAGGTCCAAAGCACTATATTATATAACACGTCCACTCTTGTTCGTGAACCAGCTCATATACATAAAATGATCTTGGCATTGCAAGGGGTCAGATGAAGAGAACCAATTTTAGTAATTACAGATAACTGATTTATAGGAGGATGAGGTTACTATTAATGTTGGTGGTTTGGGAAAGCTTCAAGAGTGTTGCATGGGTCTTTGAGGTAAGGAGATTATTTAGAGTATGTTAGATTTAAAGATACAGATTTCAAGGTACATTTTTAAGTGAACAAAAACAAAGCATCAAAATGTGGATAATATACTACCAGTTGCGGGCACCTGGGTGGCTCAGATGGTTAAGCGTCTGCCTTCGGCTCAGGTCATGATCCCGGAGTCCTGGGATCGAGTTCCGCATCGGGCTCCCGCTCTGCGGGGAGTCTGCTTCTCCCTCTGCCTCTCTCTCTCTCTCTCTCTCTCTCATGAATAAATAAATAAAATCTTTAAAAAAAAAAAATACTACCAGTTGCCCTAAAAGGTATGTGTGTGTGTAATTTGCTCAAGTGTCTAAAATATGTCTGGACAAATAAGATCAGCTGCCTCTGTACAGGGGAATTGGATGGCCAGGGCCAGAGTTGGGGTAGTCTTTTTTACTTTATATCCTTTTTGTATGTTTTTGAAGTTTGAACTATGTGAATTATATTAAGTAGTCCAAAAATGAATGACTAAAATTTAAATCTCAACTAAACATTTTGATCATGTTCTGGAGCTGGATCGTAGTAGTGGTTGTACAAGTGTGAGTATACTTAATGCCACAGAACTATACACTTAAAAATCGTTAATGTGATAAATTTTATGTATCTTATGTATAAAAATTAACAAAATAAAAGGCTATTTGTAATCCTCCTTTCAAAGAAAACAAATCACATACACATACAGACAAAGCCTAAGATTTTCAGTCATATAATTAAATAATACAAAATCTTCTTCTTCCTAATAAGTGGAAGTGAAAGTTTGGTACCCATTACCTAACTTCAGTAATTATCAACATTTTGGCAGTGTGTATGTAAAACCCCCTGCCTTTTTCTTGAAATATTTTTTAAAAAGACTTTATTTATTTATGAGAGAGAGTGAGAGCATAACCGGGGGTGGGGGGGGCCAGAGGAAGAAGCAGACTCCCCGCTGAGCAGGGAGCCAAGGGTATAGGGCTGGATCCCAGGACCCTAGGATCATGACATGAGCTGAAGGCAGACAGACACTTAACCGACTGAGCCACCCAGGCGCCCCTTTCCTGAAATACTTTAAAGCAAATCACAAGCATCATATAATTTCAGCTGGAAATACCTCAAGATGGAGCTCTAATTAATTCTTAATATAGTCACAGTAAAATAATAATTCCTTAATATAAAACAATGACTAGCCCATATTCAAATTTTCTTAGTTGTTTCAGTATTTAAACATGGCCTGTGTAATTACTTTTCACTTCTTTATCTCCCAAGATTTTTTAAGAACTTTACTTTGAAGTAATTATAGATTTATAGAAAAGTTATGAAAATAGATATACTCTTTACCCAGCTTCTCTTAATATTAACATCTTGCATAACCATAGTGTAATTATCAAAACCAAGAAATTAACCTTGGTGTAATACTGTTAACCAAACTATAGGTTTTATTCAGATTTCACCAGTTTTTTTTTTGATAATGAACCTCTATTCCTAGATCCAATTCAGGATCCCAGATTACCTTTAATTGTTAGTGTCATGTTAGTCTCTTTCAGTCTGTGACAGTTTCTTAGTTTTTCTTGTCTTTCATAAGAACTTTTGATACTTTTGAAGAGTCCTGGCCAGGTCTTTTGTAGAATATTTTTCAATTTGGGTTTGTCTGATATTTTGTCATGAGATTATGCATTTTTGGCAAGAATACCTCAAGTTATATGCCCTTCTTAGTGTATCATGTTGGGCTACATAATATTGATACATTTTATTTTTGGCAGTGTTAACCTTGATCACTTGGGTAAGGTACTCTCCACTAGATTTCGGCACTATAAAGTTGCTGTTTTTTCCTTTGTTAGTAATAAATACCTTGGGGGAGATACTTTGAGATAAGGCACATATTCTGTTTCTCTTCAAATTTTTGCCCAATGATTTAGCACTCACTGATGGATCTTTCCCTTCAGCAGTTACTTTGTCATAAACACTCTTGTGTTCCAGTGGTGTGATTTTCTGTTGTCCTTATTCTTTTTCACATTAGAGTTATTCTTTCGTAAGGAAGAGCTGTCCTTTCTCCCCCATTTACTTACTCAGTCATTTACTTGGTATCTGCATAGGCTCTTGAGTACTCTGGATTATAATGCAGTACTGTGGTAATTTGTGTTGGCCAAACTGGTCTACCTTTGGCCATTGGCTGATCTTTCAGGTTGGCTCCTGTGCCCTTTGGTATGTCTCCATCTATTTCTGAGCACTACTTTACTTTCTGGCACCACAGAATGTTCTAGGTTCATTTGTAATTTCTCTGCCCCAGTTCTGGAATTGATCACTTCTCTAAAGAGCTCTGTTTCCGCTTTTATAATATTTCTTACCACTCTCTTTGAAAAAAGCGGTTCATTGACTTTGTAGCATATTACACATGCTGGATTTGGATCCAGAGGTACTTCTTGTGGTGTCATTTAACTTCTATGCCTGTGGTTCTCACACTTTGCTGCAAATTAGAATCACCTGAGGAGCTTTTAGGAATCTGAATACCCATGTTTCGTTCATACCAATTCAGTTAGAATCTCTGAGGTTGGAACCCAGTTTTTAAAGCTCCCCAGGTGTTTCCAGTGTTTAACAAATTTGAGAACCACTGCTGTGCATCCAGCTTCTCCCCTTTCCTGTAATGGTAGTAAGGTCTAAATGAGGCTCAAATACATCAGGTTCGGGTGGTTTTGTTCTTTTTATATTACGTCTTGTGAAGATTGACCAGCGAGTTCAGTTCTCTTCTTGGTTTTAGCACTCCCCTTCCATTTGCTTCTACTGCTCCCTGATCATGCTGTCTTAGCTTCTCACACTGACTTTTCTTGCGTGTTCCCAGGAATCAATCTCTGATTCTCTTCTCTCTACTCTGTGATAGTATTCATGAATGTGCTTTGTTATTTTTGCATATTGGTGCAAAATCTCCACTTCGCTCTAGAGTCCATATTCACTGTCCCTACTTCGATGACCCATAGGTACATCAAACACGGCACATTCAGAATTGAACTTGCGTTCCTCCCAGACTTGCTTTTGTTCTTTCATTTATTCATTTAGTCTCACAGCATATATTTATTTACTGCCTATTATGATCCAGGCAATGTTCCCGGCACCAGGGGTGCAAAGTTGAAAAAATAAACGGGCTTCAAGGAGATTTGTGCTTGGTATATTTCCTCCTGCTACCCGTTTCATTAATGGCATGGGATCTGCCCAAACAGAACCCTCTTTGTATTATCCCACACTTCATCCACCAACCCCTGTCAGTTTGCTGCACTCCACTGATCCTTCTTTTATGTCTCTTTCACGATTTAAAACATGATGCAACTCTACCCTTGAGGGAGGGAGCTAGCATGGTCTTTGCAGTAATACCAACTGGAATGTGAATTCTGGCTCAACCACTTAGGCTTGTCTTTATGCCCCTGAGTAAGTTACTAAAGCCCGCTGAATCTTATTTACCCAATGTAACATAGGAAAAATAATCACCACCTCACTCAGTAGCCGGGGGCATTGAATGTCCTAACTTGCTTTACCTCTTACCCTGGTGAGTAGCAGTTGCCACATTCCAAAATCTGGGCCCCATCCCAGATGCTCCCCTTCTGTATCCTGCCTTCTGTATCTAGTTAGTCATTGAATTCTGTTTTTCTGCCTAAATATCACTCAGGGATGTTTATGTTGAAGCCCTCATCTTTGGCCGGTACAATTGCACTGGTCCCCTGACCCTTCTGCTAACCGTGTAATCTTTCTAAAGCCCTTCAGTGTTTTCTCTCGTGCTTAAAACCCTGGAGTGAAGCTCGTGAAGTCCACACTCCATTGCCTGGCAATTCTCTTCAACATCTTGTTCTACTTGTCTTCTGTCTCACTGCATCTCCTGTCACTCTACTCTTCCCCAGCAGCAGAGCTATCACAGCTCTGTCCCTTTGCATATCCTCTTCCTCCCTATTCTACTTGGCAAACCGGAGGTATATTTTGGGGCCAGTTCTAGTCTCAGCTTTTCTGTGATGCCGTTTCTAGATTTCCCCAGACTCACACTGTCTCACTGTACTACATACTTATTTTCTATTAAAGCTTCATTGCATTTATTTGACTACTTGAATTTACAGACTTGATGACAACAACATCTTACTCCATTTTATATTCTCAAAGCCTGTCACAGTGCCTGACATATAGTAAATGCCTGCTTTATATTTGATGAATGAGATGAACATGTGAAAGTTCCTAGAACAGTGACTGGCAGACACTGAATGTCAGAAGATGCTTACTCATTACACTTCATATTTGTAAAGATACATAGCACATTGCATTTCCCAGTTTATGTTAATTTCCCTTACTGGCATAAAGTATAAATCCTTAGGCAAACTATTTAAAACCCTTTATATCATTTTCCCTATCTTTCTAGTTATGTCTTCTGCCATTTCTCTTTTTTCATATTATGTTTCCCAACCCAACAAGAGTTTGTTAGGTATCTCTGGTTGATCTTCACCCTTTCCTTTGGCTGAGACTCTGCACCGGAGAAGCTACTGTTAATGATGGAAGTGTGTCTAAGTAGAAATAGGCAGAAACACTGCTGTATAAACCTTACTTTCTAGTTTGATTGGACTGTGATGATTGCCTTGAGCTTTTAAGACGAAATTAAACTTGCATCTTTTCTGTAGCACCTATTTTTTGTAACGTACTATCACATTTGCCACATTTTATTTTAGTTGTATATATCTGTTACCTACTAGCATGAGACCTTTGAGAGCAAATATTTTGTCTTTATTTCTTGCTGAACCAGCACCCAGACTCTGAAATGTTTCTTGATTTACATGAGGGGAATGATAAGGGTTACTCACAAGAGGTCAGTGTTGTCTAGGGCATGGGGATGTTTTGAATAGACACTTGAGAAGGGTTGGAGGTTACCGGCGAGGGAAAGTGAAAGCAGAGTTAATAATAGCAGCCGGCTGCTCACACTTGTTGAGCACTTTATACGTCCAGGCACTTTACATGTATCATTAACACATTTAATCATCGCAACAACTCTGTAATTTTCCATCTTTAATAGATGTAGAAACAGAGGCACGGACAGGTTAAATAGTTTGCCCAAGGTCCTGTTTGGGACTGTAGAACTCAAGCTGGTCACTGGTGCTTTACTGCCTTCCAGTGAACATAGTGAAACGAAGACTGGCCCAGTTAGAGCAAGGTGAGGGCAAAATATACTCTTAAGAAAGGACTGATTTCTAGTACTCTTCTCTTTGACAGAGTCCAAGATTGATGATAATGGCTAAGGACAAAACTTCTACACCATAACATGTGTTCATGTTACTTGGGGATCTCATTAAAGTGCAGATTCTAATTTTGTAGGTCTGCAGTGGGGCCTGAGATTCTGCATTTTTGACAAGCTCCCAAGCAATCACAATGCTGCTTCACTGTGGGCTCCTTGGTGGAAAGGCTTTGGAAGGTTCAGTGCCAAAAATATTTTATACGGGACTCTATTAGGTTCTCATGTAGAAATTCTAAAAGGTTCTGTGTCCCTTAATTGGATATTTAATTATAAAGTTGCCGTGGTACAGAGATGCTGAGACTCTAGGCACTTGTTCTTCATTTTGGTTCTGTATTAGAACCACCTGCAATAAAAACTAATGCTCAGTCTGTATTCCAGACCAATAGTCTAGTGAGTGGGTCTTTATATTCTTTAAAAATCACATGATTAAAATGCTCAGCCAAGGTTAAGAACCATTATGAGCAAACAAATTAATTTATTAAACTCTTTTAGAACCGAGGGTGCTTCTTTTCATGTTAAATCTGTTTCCTATGGAAATAAATACTGCATCACGAAAGTTCCTGTGAATTGACAATACCTTAAAATTGCTGTAAAGACACGACTAAATGTTAAGTAAATGAGGGTTAGTGTCACTGTAGCATTTTGATTAAGGCTTGTGCTGTTGGTAGGGCAGCATTCATCTTCAAGAATAAGAATAAAAATACTAATAATGCTTTTTTTCTGGTGAGAATGTTCCTGTGAATTCTCGTTGTGCCTTCTCAACCCAGTTTATTTCTTTCCAACAGGGATTTTTTGCCAGGTGGTAGGAGAGATTATACAGTCCAGGTTCAGCTGAGGTGAGTTTGAAATTTTCTGTTAATTTTATACTTGCTGATGGGGTGCCTGGGTGGCTCAGTCATTAGGTGTCTGCCTTCGGCTCAGGTCGTGTTCCCGCAGTCCTAGGATCGAGCCCCGCATCGGGCTCCCTGCTCCGCGGGAGGCCTGCTTCTCCCTCTCCCATTCCCCCTGCTTATGTTCCCTCTCTCACTGTGTATCTCTCTGTCAAATAAATAAATAAAATCTTTAAAAAAAAAAAAATTTTATACTTGCTAACTATGTGCATATAGTCCTGAATTTGAAATATGTAAACGTGTTTGGGTACATTCTTTAAGAATAATTTATGGGTTTTTTTTTCTTTTCTTTAATGCAGACTTTGCCTGGCAGAGACAAGTTGCCCTCAAGAAGACAACTATCCCAATAGTCTATGTATAAAAGTAAATGGGAAGCTGTTTCCTTTGCCTGTAAGTTGCTTTTTATTTACCAGGCTTGCATATAAATAGAGTCTAAATACTCACAAGGCGAAGAAACAGTGACAACTCCGTACCAATGAGTATTCTTACTATCCAGGTTAAATACTGTTTTCCACTAGAGGGATTCATGACTCCTTGGAGAAATGGCTGATTCCAGGTCTGGGGGAGATGGAAAAGGTGAGCCTGGACCATCTTGTGCCAGGAAGCAGGGGCGCTGTGAAAGACTCTTAGGATCATATCAAGTGCATAATAACAGGTCATGACTTGCATATATAGGGCAGCATGTTGTGGTAGTTGTCTAAATTAGCTGGGCCTTCTCCATGGATGAGATGGTAAAAGGCAGAGGCTGCTGAGAACGACTGGACATGGAGATCAACGATTCCAAGTTTGGGCCTTGATGTGCACAACTGGGGGGTAGATGCAGCAGTATTTGACAACCCATTGTTTAAGCAGTGAAACAATATATGGGCTTCAGCACTTGGGATACATGCACGCACGCACACCTGTGCACACAATGGGTACAGTTTCCGGCCTGATAGATAACTCTGGACTCTCCTGTTAGTCACATCTTAAAATAACACTTAATTGTTGAACTGGATTGTATATCTGTCTCCACTGAGGCTTGGAATACGTCAATAAATAAGTGCAGCTGTGTAGAAGGCCAGCAAAGCCATAATCAGAAAAGTAGGAGAGCATGGCCTGTTTGTCAAGCACTGCAAAGTGGAGGTGCATTTAACCCAGGACGTGCTTTGAGAACAGTGATTTCACGAGGATGCTAAGTTGCCATTTCAACAACAGAGACTACAGAGAAGGAGATGGGGGAACTGTTTAGCATCCCTGCTGAGCACAAGGCTTGGCTCTGGAAAAAGTATATGAGCAACACTGATGAATAGCTGAGCAGGCCAGACAACATGGTCTAGGACTCTGGGCTCTACCAGAGCCAGATGATTGTCATTGAGCCCCCCCAAAGTGAAGACGGCCCATGGCCAAAGCCAACACTTGTAGTCAAAGATCTGACTTGATTGTCAGGAGTCCTGTTTTGTATCTTCGTAGCCTGTGGATTTTAGAGACCTGAGAAGTACCTATTTCATGAATTTTAAAGAGCTTGAGCAATACTGCATGGTTGCTGCCTCTTTTTGAAAGATGTCTGTGGGGCCGAAATCATTTGAGATAGTCCTTTGGGGATGAACGGGGAAGTTGCAGAGGCGGCATAGATGTGGTCAGGAGGAATGCTTACATGGCCCCATGCTTGTTCAAGACCCAGGTGGGACATTTTGCTTCTCAGGTTTCTGGCAATGAGCAACATTAGGAGCTGTCTTTTATCTGGATAGATCATACAAAGATCTGAACCAAAGAAAGAGGCAATTTTCCTTGGAACTAAAGGCCACCCAATGCCAATGCGTGGCCACATGTGTGACAAAGGAATCCTGGGAAAATCACAGATTGTGGAATGCCCCTGTGCACACTTTCCATGACTGTTCATACCCAGTTTTCTTTGTCTGAGACATGTTAAAATTTCTCTGACCTTGGCTTTTCCTGTTTCTCTCTCTCACCACCCCTGAAAGATCTAACCGTGAAGATCTTGGTATCTAGACCTGCCTTGAAGACCTGTTCAGTATCAAGTGACTGTGCCAATGATGGGGGCTATCTGAGATGTGTGAGGTTCTACCTAAACTGTGGCATTGCTGCAGAAAATATGGTGGTTACAGTTCCACAAAATACTCCAGATGGAGCAGTGTTATGCTTTGGGATGGTATCTTCATCCATGAGATCTATCTATGGATACCTCTGAATTTGTCACTCTTTCAATCCTTTTGAGAGAGGAGAAATTAGAGTACTTTCTCTGGTAGATTGTTACTCAGTCACTGTTGATTTCTTTCCCAAAGCACCAACTAACCCTTCAGTACTTATGTCAGGCTGTTTGTGAACATACCAGTTACTGTGTAATGAGTCTGGCCCTCTCCTCTAGAGCCAGGGGCCTGCAGTGGCTCCAGGGGCTCTGTGAAGGAGGTGAAGAAATAGAGCCTTAGGACAAAGGTAAAGACGGATTTCAAAAACAGAAAGCGGGGTGGGGCAGGGGGCGCTTTCCTGACCTGATAGGGTCGTCCCAGAGATCAAACACCAGCCTTTCCCAAAGAGGCTTTTTGGCTTTGTGACCTTCTGTGGAACAGCTGCCGGTGCAACTGATAGAAAACTCCTTAAACCACCTCTTGATCCACAATTGCTACTGATTGGGATAATGAAATATGGAGCCTTTACTAGCATGAAGCAGGTTTACGAACATCATATGAATGTATGCAGCCTCAGAAGACCTTTTGGACCTCCAGTGACCTTTTGGAAATTAATATATTGAGCTCCTCACCACCACGGAGATCCTCAGGGACTTTGTTGCAGTTGTAAGAAACATTGACAGGTCACAAAGAAGTTTGACACGCAATCCTTGCCCATGATCCTAGTTTATTGCACAGCAAATCCTCGAGGAATAAGCTTGACACAGTCATGGAATTTCCCATGAGAACTATGAATATATTTGAATTTGTGTCCTGGAACCAGTCCCTCTGTGTAGACCTTACTGCAGTATCCAGTCATTATGGAACGATGATACTGCATGTACAAAGAGAAAGCTGAATGAGAAATGGCATTACCTTGATAATAGCAATGTGTCCCTGGATTCTTAAGGGTCAAATAGTGATGAAAGCAGTTTCTGTGCTGTTTTACCCATGTCAGAATGAGTTTTAGGAGATGCCTTCATGCATCGATTTTCCAGATCCCTTAATACAAGGACAGCAGTAAGCAGCTCATAGCAGGACTTGCAGAATGACATGTGCAGCATGGACAGATACAAGTGAAACCGTCTGAGAGTATCTCCCTTTCCCCGTCTTTGGCTCCCAGGGCTGCCAGTGTACCAACTGATGGCAAGATAAGAAAATTTTATGTTTTTAAGGACAGAAGAGAGGGAAAGGAAAAAAAGACCCTCTTTGCTTAGAATGATTTTGAGGGGCTGAATTATATTTCTTTTTAACCAGATTTTGAGAAATTTCTGTAAATCTGTGGAGCCGTAAGGTTGGGGAGGGTTGTCATAGAAGTGGGTTGACAGTGGGGAGTATTACTTGTAAAGTTGAAGAATTCAGCTGACGTCAGGATGACCCCTCTGTGGATACCTCTGAATTTGTCACTCTTTCAGTCCTTTTGAGAGAGAAGAAATTAGAGTACTTTCTCTGGTTTCAACCTGAGGGTTGAATAGGTAAAGACTGTTTATGAGCAAATATATATTGAATTGGGTGATGGGTATATGGGAGTTCATTATACCTTCTTCCTCTTTTTATATATATATATATTTTTTAAGATTTTATTTATTTGAGAGACAGAGTGGGTGAGCAGGGTGAGGGGCAGAGGGAGAAGCAGACTCCCCACTGAGCGGGGAGCCCGGCGTGGGGCCGATCCCAGGATTCTGGGATCATGACCTGAGCCAAAGTCAGATGCTCAACCGACTGAGCCACCCAGGCACCCCATCTTTTTTTATATGTTTGAAAATGTTCAATAATACATTTGAGGCAGTTGAGAAATTTGAATATAGACTGGATACTAGGTAATTTTTAAGAATTATGGTTAATTTTATAAGGTGATATTGGGTTTTTTGTTTTTGAAAGGTGTTATTAAAGCTGTGTATAAAAGTATGGGTCAAATGGCATTGTCTAGAATAAATGTGTATATATGTGGGGTGTGTATTTTTCGGTGGGCTGGGGGTGGAGCCAGAGGCAAATGAAGCAAGATTGGTAACATGTTGATAATTACTGAAGTTGGCTGTTGGGTAATTTCCTCCACTTATGTCTATGCTTGAAAATTTTTATAATGTACAGTAAAAAAGTAAATATGTTGACAGTATTACAGTAGTGGTAGTAGTAGTATAGAAAATTTCGGGGGGAAATGTTAAAGGAATTAATGCTGTCAACTTTTGTCCCAATTACAAGTCAGGTAGGATGTCATCACTGAAAGGGTTTTGAGTATATCTTTTATTGGAACGTTAGGTTCAGACTGACAGATTATCTTTTACTGGCTCTTCCAGCAGCCTTTTTAAAGAAAGTTTTTAGCTTTGCTCCAGAGGTCCCGTCAAATGAACTTATGTTTATTTTTGTTTTAGATATGGAAAATTGTTAGAAATGTGTTAAAGCTACACATTTATATTTTAGAAAATTGTAATTATATCCTGTTCTCAATAACCAGGTAATTAATGGCTGAGTGGAGGTGATGGTAACGGTCAAAAGGAGAATACAAGTTAATAGATAACTCAGAACTGCCAGTGAAATCAAACTAGTCAGGTAGGGTATAGAGATGGATTTAAAATACTTGAGGTGGCTGAGACTAGTACCAAAATTGATTTTGAATTTGTTAGTACCTCGTTCTTGTAGTCACCTATTCTCCCCCTTCTGGTTGCTCTCTTCCTCTGTCAGACTGACTTAAAACATTGTTGCTTGGTGTCTCCGATTCCTGTTTAGGGAGTTTACTGTTTGGTGTGAGTTATTTTTATCATCTTGGCAGACCCTGTGCCATTGTTTTATTTGGTTAACCTCCCAGAAGACAGAATTAACTTCTAGGCTAAAAACAAATAAAAGTTTCATTGGAATTATCCAGAACGTTGATATTCCTTATGCTTTTTGCTCATTGAACCAATTCCTAGAGTCTTTTTAAGACAATGAATTGTTTTTGTCTTACTTCACTTGAACAGCTTTACGTGGGCATAACCTTCCTACACGTGTATGCAGGCGCACACACAATTTCCCTTTTCCATAGCGTAGTGGCCATTGTGAAGTTAGGCTCTTAGCCTTCCTTCTTCCTTGCCCAAACTGTTTTTAATGATTTTCAAAGTCTTGATGCAAGTTGTAGATTGCAAGTTAGGTGCATTCCCACTGAATAATTACTGTCCTACGAGGCAGTGAAGGAGGTCCCTTAGTTGTGATAGAATGTGTTCCTTAGCTCTGTTGTGTAATGCCACCAATACTGTATTTCATTAGTTCAAACATGCATCACTAAAATCCAAAGGTATCTTAGAGTTGCTGATGACCAGGTAATTACAAGCTGTAATGTACTGTCATTGCGTATATTTGTATAGTCTTGATATTATTCCTGTGGCGTGACTGGTTAGCTATGCTCCTTTGGTTTTTTAAGCAACATATGATTTAAGAACATTTTAAGGAAGGTTCACAAATCCTGGTTGTTGTCTGAAAAGCTTTGATCAGTACATTCTCATAAGGTCCAGATTGTATCAGCATTAACACATGCAGTTAACTTAAGGGTATCAGTGATCTGCAAGGAAATCTGAGTGACGCTACTGGGGTAGAATATAGTTTTAAGAAATACTTGTATCTCCAGAGCTCTTAGTAGCATTTAGGGAGATACCATGAAACATATGCATTGATGACTGAGTGAAAAGTGATTCAGAAGATTTTTCTGTATATTTAAAAGGAGTATGTTAGCCAGTTCATTTTGCTTATATTTCTTTGCTATGCATGCAGGAATAAGTAGTGATATGCTAGGTTGTATCATTAACTGAGTGTTTTTTTCCTTCTCAGTGGTACACAGTTAAATTACATCAGTGGCATTTTAGATTCCGTGAAATACGGTTATCTGCTTTTCAATACATAGATGTTTTCACAGCTAAGAAATTTTAATTTTCTAAAAATTATTATTTTAGGGACACCTGGATGGCTTGGTTGGCTAAGCATCTGCCTTCGGTTGAGGTCATGATCCCAGAGTCCTGGGATCTGAGTCCCATTTCAGGCTCTTTGCTCAGTGGGGAGCCTGCTTCTCCCTCTGCCTGCTTTTCTCTCTGTCTGCCGCCCCCTCCTGCTTGTGCTCTCTCTCTCTGACAAATAAATAAATAATATCTTTAAATAATGTTAGTCTTGAACATTACAAACTGAGAAGTCTTTGGTAATTGAGAGTTGGATATAATGTGAATCAAAAATGAGTACACTTGCTGTTTAAAACAAATACTTAATGATTAGAAAAAGTAAAATAAAACATAAATATCAATATTACAGCCGTCAAGCTAATTTAATGCCAATTGAAATATTGATTATTCTTTGTTAACATGATCTGGTTTTAAAAATGACAATTTCTCTTCTACTTGGAGAGAAAGCATTCAAAAGAATTGAATAATTCCTTTGAAATTCATTAATTTGTTCTTTTTTCCCCATAAACTATAATAAGTACATTTTATTTTTATTATTTTTAAAAAATTTTACTAAGTTTTTAAATTTTAATTCCAGTATAGTTAACATACAGTGTTATATTAGTTTCAGGTGTACAATATAGTGATTCAACAATTCTGTACATTGCTCAGTGCTCATCATGAGAAGCATACTCTTTAATTCCTATAATCTATTTCACCCATCCCCCCACTTCCCTCCCCTCTGGTGACCATCAGTTTGTTCTCTATAGTTAAGAGTCTGTTTCTTGGGGGTGCCTGGGTGGCTCAGTTGGTTAAGCGACTGCCTTCGGCTCAGGTCATGATCCTGGAGTCCCGGGATCGAGTCCCGCATCGGGTTACCTGCTCAGCAGGGAGTCTGCTTCTCCCTCTGACCCTCCTCCCTCTCATGCTCGCTCTCTATCATTCTCTCTCTCTCTCTCTCAATAAATAAATAAAAATCTTTAAAAAAAAAAAATAAAATAAAACTTAAAAAAAAGAAGAGTCTGTTTCTTGGTTTGTCTCTTTTTCCCCTTTATTTCTTAAATTCCACATATGAGTGAAATCATACGGTATTTGTCTTTCTCTGACTTATTTCACTTAGCATTATACTCTCTAGCTCCATTCATGTGGTTGCAAATGGCAAGATTTCCTTGTTTTAATGGATGAATAATATTCCATTGTATGTATATACCGCCTCTTCTGTTATCAGTTCATCTATTTATGGGCACTTGGGCTGTTTCCATAATTAGGCTATTGTAAACAATGCTGCAGAGCGGTGCATATATCTTTTTGAATTAGTGTTTTTGTATTCTTTGAGTAACACCTACTAATGCGATTACTGGGTTGTAGGCTAGTTCAGTTTTTCATTTTTTGAGGAACTTCCATAGTTTTCCACAGTGGCTGCACCAGTTTGCATTCCCACCAACGGTGCACAAGGATTCCTTTTTCTCCACATCCTCGCCAACAGTTGTTTGTGTTCTTGATTTTAGCCATTCTGACAGGTGTGAGGTAATATCTTACTGTAGTTTTGATTTATCTTTCCCTGATGGTGAGTGATGTTGAGCATCTTTTCTTTTATCTCTTGGCCATGTGTATGTCTTCTTTGGAGAAATGTCTGTTCATGTCTTCTGCCCAATTTTTAACTGATTATTTGGGAGGGTTTTTTTTGTTTTTGTTTTTGTTTGGTTTTTTTAGTGTTGTATAAGTTCTTTATATATTTTGGTTACTAAGCCTTTATCAGATATGTCATTTGCAAATATCTTACACTCAGTAGGTTCTCTTTTAGTTTTGTTGATTGCTTCCTTTGCTGTGTAGAAGCTTTTTATTTTGATGTAGTCCCAGTAATTTATTTTTGCATTAATTTGTTCTTTAATCACCAAACTTTGTTTTCCCTCTTTCCCATCCCCAGTATTTGAATGCATTTTGACTAGGAGCTCCTATGATGAATCAATACAAAGAGGTGCAACTTTATCATTTATAAAAAGGAAAAAGATTCGTTGTATGGCAAGATGTTAGTATCTTTAATTTTAATGGTGGACCATGGATTTTTTTTTTTTTTTGGTACTTTCCTGAACTTGTGAAATATAGTGTGTGTTTTGGTTTTTTTTTTTTTTAAAGATTTTATTTATTTATTTGACAGAGAGAGACACAGCGAGAGAGGGAACACAAGCAGGGGGAGTGGGAGAGGGAGAAGCAGGCTCCCCACAGAGCAGGGAGCCCGATTTGGGACTCGATCCCAGGACCCTGGGATCATGACCTGAGCCGAAGGCAGTCGCTCAACCGACTGAGCCACCCAGGCGCCCATGAAATATAGTGTTTTTTAAAAGGTCAGTTTCTTCTCTGGATTGGTGTCCTTAGGATGAAGATTGTGTGATTTCCAGGATAAAATAAGAATATGTATCGGATCTATGTAACAGAAATTAGATCTGTGTAACAGAAATTAGGCAAATGTGTATCTATCTTGGAGAAAATGTTTGATTCCCCGACAGAGAATTAAAAAAAATTTTTTTTCTCTTATGATTCTAGGGCTATGCACCACCACCTAAAAATGGGATTGAACAGAAGCGCCCTGGACGCCCTTTGAATATTACATCTTTAGTTAGGTTATCTTCAGCTGTGCCAAACCAGATTTCCATTTCTTGGGCATCAGAAATTGGAAAGGTAAAGACTTTCTGGGTAGCATGAAAGTGATCTCACTAGGAGTTGATTTGTCTTTTCTTAGGTCAAGCTACTAGCTCTAACTTGTTAGTTTTCTGATTGTCATTTCTGAAAAGCAGTAATTTTCAATTCAGGGGTGGAAATGTAGAGATTCTTAGGGTTAAAAAGTTTAAGATTTCCTGAATGTTGTCTTTATTTTCTTGGAAAAGAAATGAGTGTAATTACAGTATTTCTTAAGGAAATTCTTAAGCACAATCGTGTTTATGTGTTTAAGTAGTGTTTTAAGAAACTGGAAACTTTGGTAATGTTACGTATTTATGAAGAGGGACAAAGCTTTATAGGCTTTGAGGAAAATGGTTAAATGTGGTTGGAAATAATCTGTTCCAGCTTTTACATGAACAGCTGTTACTTCAGATAATGTGGGAATCTCATATGAAAATATTTATTTAGAATTACATTATTTTTCCAGTACCTTTAGGTTGATGAACTTGGCTTTCTATGGATTCTTAGTCTTAAATGTGTTCTGTCAGTTATGGGATACTGACTAATACAACACAGGATTTCTGTTTTAGAACTATTTGTTTATATATAGAAATAATAGAATGTCAGAAGAGATTTCAGTTAATCTGAACATCAACTTTTAATCTTGCTATTTCATGGAGATAAAGGGTAATATTCCTATTTTATGGACAGAGAAATTGAGTCATATGTTTGTAGCAGGAATTTTTTGGTTGTAATACCAAGGCAATTGCAGAACTGGACATAAAGATCTTTGTATTAATATTTGGACTATAAAAATATTACTAGCTCTCTAATTGTTTTCTTGAGCTCTCCGTTTTGAATTTTTACTGTAACTTGTCTGTATTATCATAGGGCACTGATTCCTAATATTTTTCATTTGCACAAACTGAAGGATTTAGAAAATCTTGACTTAGTCCCAAGTTAGACACTGTTTGATTTTAGCAAAGTTGCTTAATTTCCTGAGGCCTACTTAAAGATAAGTAAGAGAATGGGTATTACCTGCAAATGCAAGGACATTGTTAAATGAGCAGGTATTAATAATGCTTTAAAGCTTATGGGAGGAATTTGAATAGAAGAATCTTTTTGAAGTAATTATTAACTTACAGATTTTTGAGTAAATGATTGTAGACATTGAAGACCTGGCAGGGTTTTTTGCCCTGTAATGGGAATAATATTCTTTCCTTGTAATTAAAATGATTGACTTTAAATTTGCATACTATATTGAGTATTCAGATACTTAAAAAGACTGTTGCAGGACATTAAAAATGACATTTACAATATTTGGCTTGGTAACTATTAAAAGTATTTTGTTTATTGTAGGATCAATTGAATGAATATATGTAGTAAAATAGTAAGATAGATTTTTAGCATGTAGGTAAAATTCTATTTCATCTCTTCATAGCTCTATAAATAGCTAACGAAGGTTCCTTTGTGCCAGATCTAAGAGGTATGGGATTGGATGCTATTATTTTCTGGCCTTGTCTTTTTTTTTTTATCATTTCTTCGTGTGTCTTAAATACTACAGTAGCTGTCCCTTCCCTAATGAAATGTGCATTTGGAAACAGGAGTTAATTTTTCAAAGTTTTTCTCAGAAGAAAGCCGAGGGTCCATTTGAGGATTAGCTCAAGGCCATGTATGAGGTGGTCTCTTCTGCCAGAATTAGAACTTTGGAACTCTGGATTTGAAATGTTAATTCAGACAACTGGTGTTTGAACTTTCTGTAATGGAACCCGTTCTTCAGTGAAAATATTGTTGACAGTTCCATTACATGAAAACAGAACAATTTTAGTTAGAAGTGGGCATGGGAGGGTACATTCTCATTCATACCATGGTGACCCTAGGACAATTAGTTTTGCTAAATTAGAAACACAGTTTGAAAACTACTGATCTAAGATACGTTATCTTTCACATGGATGTTTTAAAGTGATAAGTGATTGAGAAATACCTTTAATATGATTTTTATCTTCCCTAAAATAGCTGAGTTGATTTTGTTCCCTTCCCAGTCCTTGACCTTCCTGTGAAAGTTATTTTGAATGTTATTTTTAGAAACCGGAGTTTCTTGGACAAGTATTTTATGTAAATAGACTATTATCTCTCATCTTTAATACAGATTATCTTTCTTTGTAGAATTACTCCATGTCTGTATATCTTGTACGACAGCTCACATCAGCCATGTTATTACAGAGATTAAAAATGAAAGGTATTAGAAACCCTGATCATTCCAGAGCACTAAGTAAGTAATGTTTGTAAGACTGAGCATATGAGATGCTTTAATGGAAAAAAAAAAAGCCTCAAATATACATCAATACAGGAATAATTTGGGAAGAATTATTAAAAAACCTAAAATGAATTTTGAGTTAAAAATACTCTAAGAACAGATCCCTATAAATTGAAAAACCCTTCTTAGAAATCACTCCTAAGGATCAGTTTTAAATCCCAACTAGTCTGATTTTTGGCTTCTTCGTGAAAACTTACTTAGGTAATTGTCAGGTTGATGGTAATTTTGATGCATATATGTTGATTTGCGAATAGGAAATACAAGTCTTCAGAACCTCCAGTGTGTAATAGAATGTACATTTTTAAAAATTCTAAATGAAGAAGCTTGTTTTGCAGAAGAAGTGTTGATATCTACCAACAATATTTGCCCTCTCAGAAGTTTTATTTTGAACTTTGCTTTCATAATGTATAATAGAGAAAAAAGTCTAACCTAAACTGTAAATAATTCAGTAACTTAATTTAATTGAACAAGACATTTTTCTGGGAAAGAGAATATTTTTCCCCCAATTACCTTCCATACCACTGAATGAACCGGAAGGGAGAAAAGGATCTACAGTACGAAAAGGGAGCCAAGCAGGGCTGTTGAAATGGTGTTGTGTTTCTTGTATTTAAACCATTCTCATCTCCTTAAACAGCAGAGTAGCGATGTTCCTGCCTAGAGCTGGAAGCCAAGGAAGCGCTTCCTTCCGTTTTCTAGCCCTGCTGCAGTTCCAGTTTCCCATTTCCTTGCCTTTTTTCTATAATGGTGTTGAATTGAGTATTAAGGCACCTAGAGGCCGTGCATATATTTATGAACTTGTAGAGACCGTAACTTGTATACATTATCTGGTAAATCACATTGCAGAGACATTAGCACATCTACATCTATTGTAGTTTTCAGTTGTCAAAGGAAGTATAAGAATATTTGGCCTTTTCGGTTTACAAATTTAATAGTTGTTGGAAACAACCAGTACCCCCTAATAAAAAGTCCTGAGTGTATGTGAGGAAAGCATTGAAGCTTCCAGTACAGCTCCTTTCCAAGTTCCTTTCCCAATTGTTGTATTGTTCTTCAGTCTTACACAGCTTTCTGTTCTGAGACTCTTCCTTACCTGCAATTTTACTTTTAAAAAGAAATTTAAAAAATTCAATTAAACATGTGATCTAGAGTTTGCAAGTTTATAATTCTTTAACCTAATACTGGAAGTATGATTGTGTTTTCACATTTGGGGGGTTTTTTGTTTTCATTTTACAGTTTCTTGACCTACTCAAAGTGTTTGGGAAACTTTAAATAAGATGATATATATTTCTATAATTCTTTTCAGAATATCACAGTTCATTAAAAATTTTTTTAAATTCCTTTTCTTTCTTTCTAAAGTTAAAGAAAAACTTACTGCAGATCCTGATAGTGAAATTGCTACAACTAGCCTTCGGGTATCCTTGATGTGCCCTGTAAGTAAAGCAACAAAACATTCTGGGGTATTTCACTTTTTGTACATGACTAATTTTCCTATATAAGTAAGCGTGGGAATGAATGATACATTATGATAGAATTCTGAACTTTTGTCATTTTCCCATTCAGGAATTTTAATGATTAAATATAATTCTAAAGAATGCAAATGTTCTTCAAAAAATGACTAAGCAAGGAGAGACCTAAAAGGACATTGTGTCGAAGGGGGAAGAGAGCTTTGTGTTCAGAATAATCTGTCACAGTTTTTTGCTGTAGATAATCCACAGCTAATAGTAAACATACAGAGAGAATAGAGAGTTGGTTCCTTTTATTGGAATATAAACTGTATTGAAAAATAGCAATAAAATTACTATCACCAAATAAATGCTAATTGATGGGTCTGATTTAATGAATTAGAATGTTTGAGATGTCTTAATCTCTTTGTAATATACTTCTAAATTGCATAATTATGTCTCTTTACATAGAGACTATGGGGTGGAAATCAGTCAGCAACTCTCAGATCCTCCTGTGTGCTTGTTACTGAGCTAATTTTGGGAGAAAATACTGAGGACTTGATAAGTTGTCAGAAAGTTAATAGTCTACTTTGAGAGAGAAAACTAACTCACACGAGAAAGGGAAGACATACGTACCACATGTAACCTTGCTAAGAGTACCAGAGAGATGGGAGAGGTCAGGAATAGTGGATGAAGGCTTCTTTAAAATCAGTACTGGTGGAGGGGTCCCTTTCCAGATATGAGGAACTTTATGAGAAAAGTCACGGAATCAGGAATGTAGTTTTGGGGGCACCTCATGACCAGCCACCATTGTGAGAAATGTACAGTATTTAAATGGAGAGAGAATTATGTCAGAGAGAGGGAGAGAGAAAGGAATCATTTGTTGAGTTCCTGTGATGTGCTTCTTAATTTAACTGTCTTAGCAAACCTATGTGGAAGAGTTGTTCCCATCTTGTAGATGAGGAAACTGAGACTAAAAGTGGTTGGATAGCTCACATCACACAGTTAGTAGTAGAACAAGGATAAAAATTTTGGTCTTCTGACATTATTCCAGTTACCTTAGCAATATACCATAATACCAAATTGGGCTAAAATATGTTATCCTAGTTAGAAGTCCACCTCTCTGTCACCCTGGAAAGTGATGTTTGCAGATCTCTTTCTTTCTGAATTTATTTTTTTATTATCATTAACTTGAACTAACTTAGATTTATTGAAAAGGAATAGAAATGCATGAAATTGGGATTGCTTAGAAATGGGGAACCTGTGGTTATCAGATGCAGAGAGAAGGTCTGCAGTCCCAGCAGGGAATGCCCTGAAGAGGTGGCAGAGGCCCTAGAGGACTTGTGTTTGGACCCAGGACCTCCTCTTCTATCCCCATGCTGTGTGCAAACCTTGAGGCGTGAGTTCTTTTGAGTGTCTTCACATTACCCTTTTCTTCCCTCTAGTGTTAAAATGGATGTTAAATTGAAACACAGGAAATCTCCATTTTGTTGGTTAAAAACAGTTGAATATTGACAGTTTTCTTAACAGTTTAACCCTAGTATGTTAAGCAAATGTTAATTGCTGGCTATATTCTAGGCACAGTCACTGCATGGGAAGGGAACTCGTGTTACCTTTATGTTTTAGTAGCAGATTATTCTGTCAGGAAGAAAGTGCTCCTGTATAGCTTACCTAAGGAGTTCTAACGGTTGCATGATTCCATTTTCTGCCTTGTTTTCTTGGCACTTGTTTTTTTCCTTTTTTTCTTCAAACACTGCTATTCTGTATGAGAACAACCCAAACAAAACACAATGGACTAACATACTAATGGATTCTCAGATTTTCAAAATAGTGAAAGTGGCCTATCAGAGTGGTTAGGATTCCTTCTATATAAAAATAGGGAACAGTTCCTTTTCACTAAGTCTCTTTTGCAGACTGTCTTTTGAACTTTTTGAAAAAATCATCCTACCTGATTTTTTCAGCACTTTCTAAGAAAAGAGTAAGTGGTACTTTTCAGGCTGTAGTAGTGTTAACACGAAGTTGAAGCTAACTATAGTATATGATACATGTTAATTAGAACACCAGATGTTTTGATCAAATTTAACAGATGGATGACAGAAGTTAGATGATGAGAGGAGTTTCTGAGGAGGAGATAATACCAGTATGGGTTGAAGAGAGCAGAAAGGAGTGCAGCCTCCTGGCTGTGGAAGTAACACTAGATCTGATGTGGTGCTAGGAAATAGAGGAGCACAGAGTGGATCGGAAGCATTTGGAAGGATAAGAGGTGAACCCTGGGATCAGGAGGCAGAAATGAGAGAAATGATAGCTTTAAGGTAGTGGAAGAAGTGTTCATTCTATTTCACAGTATGTTTGTAAAATGATTTAGAGTAGACATGAGTCTGGGTAGTGGGGAGCACAGTCCAAAGCCTCTATCCTTGGGACCTATGGAAGGCAATTTTACAGTCGTTCTTGAGGGAGGGATCTAATAATTATATTTCTGAACACAGTGTCTGAATTTTACACAGGGGTTCTATCTTAGTGATATCAGCTAGTGATTTTCTGCCTGTCCTGCAGAGATGGGCTGGGTGGCTGGGGGATAGAAAAGGGAGCTAGGTTTGATTTTATTTTAAGATTCTGACTCATATATAGTTTGGAACCACTGATTTGGGCCATTTTTACTATACACATTCTTTCTTAATTTACATAGATACTAATTAGGCTACAGCAAAGTGAAAATCAGTTTAGGAACTCTATGCATAACATTTCACTCTGATGTTTATAGCAACATTATCTACAATAGCCAAATTATGGAAGCAACCCAAATGTCCACTGACTGATGAATGGATAAAGAAGATGTGGTATATATATGTGTGTGTGTACGTACATACATACACACACACACAGGAATATTAGCCATAAAAAAAGATGAAATCTTGCCATTTGTAATGAGATGGATAGAGCATGAGTATTATGCTAAGCAAAATCAGAGAAAGACAAATACCATATGATTTCATTCATATATGGAATTTAAGAAACAAAACAAATGAGCAAAAGGACAAAAAGAGAGGCAAACCAAGAAACAGACTCTTAACTATAGAGAACAAACTGATGGTCACCAGAGGGGATGGGTGATGAGGATTAAGGGGGACACTTGTGATGCGTACCAAGTAATGTATGGAAGTGTTGAATCACTATATTGTACACCTGAAATTAATATTACACTGTATGTTAACTGGAATTTAAGTAAAAACTTAAACAAAATCAAAAAAGGTGTTGCATTGGTTAGGCGTGATTTCTTTTATCCATCCATCCATCCATTATCTGACTAAATAGAATTTAACACATACAAAGCCTCTCTTATTGACACACCATGATCAGTATTAGGAAGCTGATCAGATTTGGCCAGTTGGTAATAAACGCTTTTTTTTAACTTGGGAAATGTTCATTAACTCTTGTAAGACACTAGGATTAAATTTAGGATCAGCAACTTCCATAGTTGTGAATGTTTTCAGTTCTGTATATTGTGGAAATTCTAAGGCAGTTACAGGAGAGATGAAGGTGGCACTGAAGAAGAAGAAGAAAAAAAACAAGTTCTCAAAGCGTGGCTCAGAGATACTTGGGGGCCCCTGAGACTCTTGGATGAGGTTCACAAAGTCAAAGCTATTTTTTTTTTTTAAGATTTTATTTATTTATTTGAGAGGGAATGAAGGAGAGACAGAAAGCGCAAGCAGGGAGAACAGGGAGAAGCAGGCTCCCCGCAGAGCAAGGAGCCTGATGTGGGGCTCGATCCCAGGACCCTGGGATCATGACCTGAGCCGAAGGCAGATGCCTAACCTACTGAGCCACCCAGGCGCCCCAGTCAAAGCTATTCATAAAATAATACTAGGATGCAGTTTGTCCCTTTTTTGCTCTCATTCTCTCATGAGTAGGTAGTGGTGTTTAATAGGGATTACCTGAATGTTCGTGATGTCAGTGCTCCGAGGGTTGATGTAGTGTGTGTTTTTGTGTATTCTTGTGTTTTAAAAATGTCTGCCTTAATTTCTACTACAATAAATATTGGCAAATATAACCTATATACATAAAAACTCCTTGAGATTCTCAATTTTTAAGAGTGTGAAGGGATTCTGAAGTCAAAAGTATGAGAACTTGTAGCCCCCCCCCCCAAAAAAAGCCATAGTAGGCTGAGTTAGAGCATTATTTAAAAGAAACAAATTATGGAAATTGACAAATATTACCTACCTTATTATAAAATTATTCAAATAGAACAAACATTAAAACTTTAAATTGATGAGGTCTATTACTCAGAAGTAATATTACTAATAGTATGAAATATATCTTTCTAGATTGAACTTTATGTTCATAATCATGTGTTTATTGGAAAAAATTGTATTGTGCTATACATATACTATTCTGTGGTTTACTGTTTTTAAATTAACAGTATATCTTAACTATTAATATCTGTAGATATGTCTTATTTTAATCACTATAGGTATTTTGGTGATTGGGTATGGTGTAAATTAACTTGTTCTACCTTTTTTAGTGATGATTTAGGTTGTTTCCAAATAAAAAGCAATGAAGAAAAATTCCTAAGTAAAACACTAGCCAGTAGAATCCAGTACTTTAAAAAGAATCCAGTATTTTAAAAGAATAATACATGATAACAAAAGGATACCTCTTAGGAATGCAAGTATGGCTTGATTTTAGAAAACTTATGAAAATTATATTAATAGTTGAAAGGGGGGGGGAAACCCCTGTAGTCATCTCATTAGGGTGCTAAATAGGTGTTTAGTCAGCATCGATTCCTAACAGAACTCTTAGCAAAATAGGAAAAGGTAGATAATTGAAACCAAGAACCAGCACCATGTGTTGTTGTAAAACTAGAAGGATCCTCATGGAAGCAAAAAACATTTGCGTTTATGTTAGAGCTCCACCAGCTGGGTCTCAGTGAGCGTGTTTGTAGCCTCACGTCATCTCAGCATCTTCATTTCAAAAGCAGAAATACAGATACTAGTCTTTCTGCAGTCCTAGGGCTGTTAGGAGAATTCTGTGAAATGTGGGTAAAAATCCTTAGCGCCCAGTAAGATTCCACATGACTTAGGAGATAATTTGTTATTAAAGGAAGGGAAAATATAGAAACAAATATCGTAAGAAGAGAAATTGCCTCAGGTTCTCTTCTTTTTTTCTATCTCAAATAATGAGTTCTGTTGTGCTATGTACTTGCATGAATCACTGTAACAGAATTCTAAGATCCCTTTTAGAATTTTAGTTAAACACTCAGTATAGCACAGTGATAAGAGTGTGGACTCTGGAGTCAGAGCTCCTCGGTTCAGATATTGGCTCTGCCACTTTCTAACTTTGTAATGATAGTCATTGTGCCTCAGTGTTCTTGGGGTGGGGGTGGGGGGGATGATAATCTAGATCAATCATACAGCGCAGTTGTTAGGTTTAAATATAAAGTGTCACTTTATAATATAAAGTCATCAACATTGTGCCTTCCATGTAAGTAGAACTATACAAACGATAGTTATTGCTGTGGTGACGACTTGGCTAAATTAATTTTTTTAATTATGAAATAACCAAGTGTTCATTTTAGAAGAAAGAAATTATAGATAAACCAAAAGGGAGGGGGGAAAAACAAATCCTACCCATCAGGCAAAGTTAACAGTGTAATTTTGCTGTGAATTTTTCTAGACTTTATAGTGCTTGTAAAGGAGCCCTTCCTTCTTCCCTTTCTTTCCCTTTGCCATTTTTCTATTCTTTATTTGTTCTGTCATCTAGTCAACAAATACTGAGCACATGCTGCATTCTACGTATTATGCTGTGACACTTGGACTACCGTGGTGAACAGCGACATAGACCTTGTCCTCATGGAGCTTAGAGTCTAGTGGGAGAAACAGATTTTCTATCAGAATTACACAGAGCTGGTTATAAACAGATATTCTCTGTAAGGAAGTATATAGGGAGGGCTGTTGAAAGGCTATACAGAAAGACTCAATCTAATCTGGTGTGTCCTGATGTTGGTATGCCTCTACCAATTGGAATAAGAATTGAACAAAGCACTATAGTTACATAAAAGTATATTGGAATATCGGCACATGTGATTATACACACAAAATTTTCATAAGTGAAAAATACATTTGCAGTTCATATCATTTATAAGAGGCTGACTTAATGTAGAGCTTCTGTAGATAGATAACCAAAGACTAACAACCAAATGGAAAATGAGAAAAGGTTTTGAATAGGTGGTTCTTAGAAACACAAATGGCTCTTAGAAGTAAAAAAAGAAGCTCAACTTAAAATTTTAAGACAAATATAGTTCACGGCTATAATGGGGTATTTTTTTTTTTTTTACCTGTTAGGTTGGCAGAGATCAGAGTGAATTATAGCACTATGCTGACAAGGTTGAGGGGAACCAAGTACATTGATACTTCTGTGGAAGATACTTTGTCAGTGTGACAGAAATCACAAATGCACTTTCCCTTTGATCCAAAAATGTCACTTCTAAGAGTTTATCCTGTAGATATTTATTGCAGCATGATTTGTAGTCATAAAAGATTGGAAATAATTTAAACGTCCATCACTAGGGCAGGATACTAGTTAAATAAATAATGATCCTTCATATCATGTACTTCATATCAGTTACGATACCTTCATATCATGGTATGTGTACTGATATATATGAATTTTGTGTACTGATATATATGAGACAATCACCAAGTATTATGTGACAGTTGGTACAGAATTGTGTGTATTGCATGCTACTATTTCTGGGAAAATTTTTAAAATACATACTTGGTTATGCGTAGAGTATCAGTGAAAGTACATGTAAGAGATGGGTAACAGTGGTTCCCTCTACATAGGGGAACAGGTAAGAAAGAGACATTTTTTCCTACCTGTGAATTTGCATGTTAATTATTTTTAAAAAGTGAAATGGGCTTTTAAAAGTCATAGGGCAGTCAGTGAATACAAATAAAATAGGTAGCAGTCTTGACGGAGATAAATTCTGGTTTGAATTTTTTTTCATTTTCCTCTTCTGTAGGATCTTTTCAGATCTGATGAATGACTCTTGCCTTTGTGGCTTTATTCTCCTTTCTGAAAGGTTTCCCCCTGTTGTCTTTCCTGTCCTGTAGTTAGGGAAAATGAGGTTGACAATCCCATGCCGTGCAGTGACTTGTACACATCTACAGTGTTTTGATGCTGCCCTTTATCTGCAAATGAATGAGAAGAAGCCCACCTGGATCTGCCCTGTGTGTGACAAAAAAGCAGCCTATGAAAGTCTAATTTTAGATGGGTAAGTATATCCCAACGTAAGTGTTAGCTTATGTAAACATTCAGTACAGCCTCATACAGATTTTAGTCTAGCATCGTGTTACCCTTTTTATTTATTGTTGCGTTTGTGTACTGTTGGGTTTGTTAAACTCACGAGGGATATTGGTCTGTTGTTTTCTTTTAATGTCTTTTTTTTTTTTTGAAGATTTTATTTACTTATTTTAGAGAGCATGAGCGTGGGTTGGGGTGGGGAGAGGGGCAGAGGGGGAGAGGGAGAGAATCTCTCAAGCAGACTCTGTGCTGAGCACGGAGCCCTACGTGGGGCTTAATCCCACGACCCATGAGATCATGACCTGAGCGGAAACCAAGAGTCAGACGCTCAACCCATTGAGCCACCCAGGTGCCCCTTTTGTCTGCTTTTAATGCCAGAGTAATGCTGGCCTCGTACAAATGAGTTGGGAAGTGGTGGTATCCTGTCTCCTCAAATATTTGGTAGAATTCCCTAGTGAAGATGTTTGGGACTGGGGCTTTCTTTGTGGTAAAGTTTTTAACTACAAATTCATTTTCTTTAATATACGTGGATTTCCTCAGGTTATCTATTTCTTTTTGAGCCTTAGTGTGACTAGAAGTTTGTCGATTTTATTGATCTTAAAGTCCCAGCTTTTTGTTTTCATTGATTTTTCTCTTTTTTCTGTTTCTTTTCTTATTTCCCTTTTCATGTTTACTTTCATTTTAATTTGCTCTTCTAACCTCTAGAAGCTGAGGTTATTGATTTGAGTCCTTTTCTAATATAGGAAGATTAGTGCTTTAAATTTTCTTCCAAGTACTGCTTTAGCTATATTCCACAAATTTTTTCATTTTCATTGAGTTCAAAATACTTTCTAATTTGTGTTTTTATGTTTTTTGTTGGTTTTTTTTTTTTTTGTCTCATTCGTTTTTAGTTTCCAAATATTTGGGCATTTTCCACATATTTTTCTAAAGATGATTTCAAATTTCATTATGGGCATAGAACATAGTTGTATGCAGAGTTATTTTAAGTTTATTGAGACTTTTCATGTCCCTAATCCTCCTTTTCCCTACCCCATGATCCTTTTTTCTTGATAATAAACTTACAAATTATTTTTTATATAACAACCTTTATTATATTTGCTTTTTTTTTTTTTAAAGATTTTATTTATATAATTGACAGGGAGAGAGAGAGAAAGAGACAGCGTGAGAGGGAACACAAGCAGTGGGAGTGGGAGAGGGAGAAGCAGGCTTCCCGCGGAGCAGGGAGCCCGATGCGGGGCTCGATCCCAGGACCCTGGGATCACATGCTTAACGACTGAGCCACCCAGGCGCCCCTGCTTATGTTTGTTTTATATGTTATGTTGGAGGTTGTTCTTTACTGCCAATCCCAGTTACGAGGCTCCAGGTGTCTTTCTGTTTAGTCACTGATTTCTTAGATGATACTCAGTAAGTCACTTATGTTGCTCATTAAAGATCTAAAACCTGGGAGGAAGGGGATGTAATAGTGTAAACAAATGTGAAGTATTGAAACACCAAAACAAAATGTCAGATAGCATTACTTTTGTCTCCAAGGCAGTATATGTATTACTTTGTTAGTTCACCTTTGAACAAAGCCGTTGATTACATTTATGTACTTCTTAATTGGTTTATAGGCTTTTTATGGAAATTCTCAATGACTGTTCTGATGTGGATGAGATCAAATTCCAAGAGGATGGCACTTGGTGTCCAATGAGACCGAAGAAAGAAGCTATGAAATTGTCCAGCCAGCCGTGTACGAAAATAGAAAGTATGTGCAGAATGGCCACAGAGAGCAAAGCAATGAGACAACGTTGTCTTTATCGTTAACTTTGGCCACTAGAACTACATTTGGAACTCAGTTTGCGAACTTTATCTTTTGATCATCTGTTACATATGTAATTTCCCCCAAATGATTTTTACTCTTTCCTTAAGAAATGTGCTAAAGTTTATACCATCTTATAATAGCTTTTTCATAGTATATTGTAAATCTGTAAAGGAAGCAATCATTTAAAATTATTTTAATATATGGTGTTTGTTACAAAATGAAAAGTTATAAATGACATTTTTATGGATGGTTTTTCAGGATCGTTTTTAGGGTACCTTTTGGGGGAACTGCAAGTGGAGGTGTGCTTAGAGGCCACAGAATCCATCATTGGAGGGTGGGGGCAGGTGCTCACAGATTAGTTGCTAAAAAAGTGAACAGATTGTTTCCATTTCTTTGTGGCAAGGAATTTGACCATTGGTTGGTTACCTAGGATGTATACCCAGCCTTCAACTCCCTATACCCATACACACTGAGTGGGGAAACTAGGGGCAATTATAGCAATTGAAACCTGTAGGTGAACCTAAAGTTTTCTTTTTATCTGACACAGTCCACTCACTGCATTTAAGTTTTATGCTGATTATATTTGACGTTCTGACAATGTAATGAATAATGGGTACTCAGAGTGAAAAGTAAAAGTTTCATGTTAATATTAATCATTCTCCTGGGGCACTTGGCTGGCTCATTTGGTAGAGCAAGCAGCTCTTGATCTGAAGGTCTTAAGTTCAAGCCCCACATTGGGTGTGGAACCTACTTAAAAAATTTCATTCTCCTGTGATTGTTACTGAACCTATAGGTAGAATGATCAAGGTTTCCCTCATCTTTGAGAAGAATAGTGATTTAGTTGATTAGCTGCTGCTTTTCCATTATCAGCCAGGATTAGTTTTCTGTTAAACAGATCACAGCGCATAATGTAATTTCTATGGTGAGTTAACATATGGTATATGTGGGCAGAAAGGAAGACCTAAGTGATTAATAGATAGTTGCTAAGAAAAGCTTTAAATGTCTGAATAACTTAAATGAGAAGTTTGGAGTTTTTTCAGCTCATCATCAAGGTTTAAATTTTTATCAAGTTCTGGCTTATGGTGAGGGGCCCATACAGTCTCTGACATGAGTACCATTGCTTTGCTAGAATGAAGTATTCGATTCTGACTTAACAGTGCCACACATCTTGAGAATACACAGCTTGTGAAGCCACATACTCTTGCCTGTGGCTGCAGATTGGACCCCTAACCCTATGCTGTCCATAAAATGACTGCTAACCTGGGGGGACAAGTGTGAACACCAGGATCTGAGCAAATCCTTTGGCAGTACTGGGGACATAAGAGCGTGCTTTCCGAAGGAGGCTTTGACCTTGTGGCAAGGCATAGAGCTTACTCTTTCTTCCCAGGTAAGCAGTCACTTTACAGACAAATGTGTGGAGTTAAGGAGTTAGTCTCTATCAAATGGGCAGAGTATGTGGCTTTCCTGGCTGTATATTCTCCTGGGCTTGCTGTACAGTTAAGACTTATGGTTAGAGTTTATTTGTGTCCCACCTTTTTTTTTTTTTTTGCTTTTGCTTCTCTTCCTTGCATCAGGTTCAAGTGTCCTCAGTAAGCCTTGTTCAGTGACTGTAGCCAATGAGACAAGCAAGAAGAAAGTGGATGTTATTGACCTAACAATAGAAAGCTCTTCTGATGAAGAGGAAGACCCTCCTGCCAAAAGGAAATGCATCTTTATGTCAGAAACACAAAGCAGCCCAACCAAAGGGTTTGTTAATTTATAGTTCACTATTGTTTATTACACTTGGAACTGTTCTTGGTACAGGTTTGTAAATGTCTCTTTGAAAGTTGCATAACTATAGAAGGCTATTTTCATTTGCCTTTGTTCAGTTGAAATATTTTCAAGAGAGCACCTTGTTTAAAGGAGAAACTTTTGATGAAGAAATTATTAACATCTTTGGGAGGTGAGAGTTGAACTCTTCTCATGTCTAAGTATTTCATTATTTGATCCTTTTTTGTCATTTTCTGGAACCTAAATTTGGCATCACAGACCAACATGAGTAAGCCTGGCGTAAAAATGGAATGTGGCATTGGGAATCTGACAAGTGTGGATTCCAGTTTTGATACCATTGCTTACTCGTTCTGGATCTTGACTGAAATACTTGTGTGAGCCTCCTTTTTCTGCTCTGTAAAATGGGGTTAAATAATACCTACCTTATGCATAAGATGATTGTCCGATTTCAATAAGCTAGTGAGAAAGCTTAGGCTCAGTGTCAGGCATGTGATAGTCTCAGTAAAAATTGGTTGCCTTCCTATTTCATCCTCTCCAGGGCAAACTGTGGTCAAGTAAATGCGTTCTAGCATGTAGGTTTTATGACTCATGTGGCAGAAGCTATTGCTGTCTTATGTAGTAAGTGTGATAGCTTTAAGTATCTAACAACAGGTGCTTCTTAGAAATTTTGGAACCTGCAAGATAGTAGCGGAGGATTTTCCTGACATCCCATGAACATACTATTAGACTTGGGTGTGCCAGTCTTGTCCTTTGGGCCTCTCAGTGTACTTATTTTTTATAATGGCTTTATTGGGGTATAATTTATATGCCATAAAATTTTCCCATCTCAGCTATTAAGTTGCCCAGTTCATTGATTTTAGTAAATTCAGGGAGTTGCCCATTCATCATCAATTCAGTTGTAGAGTATTTCTAACACATAGTAAACTTCTCTCATGTTCACTTGCAGTTAATCTGCATTCACACCCCAGATCTAGGCAACTGTTCATCTTCTTACCATCTCTATGAATTTGCCTGTTCTAGACATTTTATGTAAATGGAATTATACTCTCAGTGTATTTTGGTTTAAAAAGCCTAGAAGTTATAGCTACCCAGCTCATTCCATGCAGTCAACTTAATTCCTAATACCCAAATGAGATTTACACATTAACAACCATGCAGAATGAAGCTGGCTCACATTAGAAAGACCAATGAAAATTCTAAATTCAATCTTAGGAAATCATTTAATTATATTAAAATGGTATCCATTACCACAAAGTAGGGTTCATCCAGGAATGCTTTGTTAGGAAATACATTGATAAAATGGATTGTATCATAAGGATGACTATATAGTCATCTTAATGGATTCTGGAAAGGTATTTAGTTCATTAATAGCCATTCCTGATAGAAACTCTTTGAAATATCAGAATTCATTTAGTGGTTTGAAGGGTTTACTGAAGCGGATTTATTCTTAGGCTGCATTAATGAAAGAAGCATAGTGTCCAGGATATATACCCACACTAGTTTTATTCTGTTCAAGGCTAGATGATTTTTACTTAATATCATTTTAGTCAGTGTTGATCATGAGAAGATGGCAACAGGGTGGTAAATAGTGCATACTGTAGCATGATGGGTGGATGGGTCTAAGGACTGAAGCTGTTAAGCCAGGGCAAGAGAATATGTGAATATGTGGATATCTTGTAGTTCTTAAAATGCAGAGGGAAGATACATGGAAAGACTTTCAGTTGGAGCTGAACACTAGGAAAGTTGATGTTTTGTGCTAAAATCACATTTTCTGTATCGAGGTAGATTGGATGCCACCTGTTTTGTGGATGTCACGGAGACTCATGCTATGGTTATATCCTCTCTGTAATCCCTTCCAACTCTTAATGCTTTTCTGGTTTTGTTCTTGGTCATCCTTTTCATATTGTCTTGTGGCTCAGCATCTAGAATTTTCATGGTTTTTCTCTGCTCTGTAAGTTTATCGTAGGACTTCTTGGTCAATGATAGTAAGCAAATGAGAAAGAATAGAGAATGAGAAACCAGGAAAACTTTCTTTCAGTTACATTCCAGAGAGCAGTTATTTTTAAAGAGGTATTTGTTTTAGTAAAAATTGTTCTTTTTTTTTTTAAAGGGGGAGAGAGTGCACGTGAGCAGGGGAAGAGGGAGAGGGAGAGAGAATCCCAAGCAGACTCTTTGCTGAGTACAGAGCCTGACTCGGGGCTTGATCCCACAACCCTGAGATCATGACATGAGCCGAAATCAAGAGTCAGACGCTCAACTGACTGAGCCACCCAGGCACCCTTAGAAATTGTTCTTAAAAACAATTTTACAGTTGTTTTACAATCAAGAGGTAGAATGCATTCCACCTAGACATAACTTCTGTTAACATTTTGATGGTAATCCTTCTAGTGTCTCGAGTACCTACTCTAGTCCTTAAATGCAGTCATATAGTACCTATCAGAAGAGACTGGCACCTTAATCTAAGACTTTTAGAAAAACCTCTGATATTTTTCGACATTATAAGATAATTCTAAATACTATGTCCCAACCCCATTCCCTGAATCATTGAATGATTACTTTGTCACTAATAAGGTATTCTAAAGACAGACATAGGCAAATATAGAGATACTTACTTCTGTGGATTAAGACTCACTAGGAATTGGTAACAAAATTGAATCTTTTTTATGTTTGTATGATAAAGTGGGAGCACACAGGGGATTTCAGGTTTATGGATAAAAATTCAAGTTACTGAACTGTTAACTCATTTTCAGACATCTAAGTCTGGGCCAAGTATGATGAATTCAGTGATCCAGTACATGGTCTAGAGTACTAATGTTTGCTCTCTAGCAGTGTTCCAGCAGTTTACCTTTGTGCTGTGATGTTATGGATAAAGCTACAAAAATTTAAAATATATATGTACACATGCATAATGTATACCTATGCCTGTGTGTGTATTTGCCAATCCTGTGAGAAGGCAGTAACATGTTACAAATTTTAAATTTTTTATTATCTTATAATATCACATTTTTATACCCACAATTCCATCATATATAGCCATTTACATTTCTCCCTTGTTACTCCATATTTATAAATCTATTTTTTTGCATAGACATTAGAATCATTTACCTTTCTGAATGTAGTCCTTGTGAATATTCTGATTAAAACCAAAATCTGCTACCACTGTATAATTTGATAATGGTCACAAATGACTAATTTACCCATTCTATAAAAATGGAATTTGTGTTAATGGTTGCAAAGTTCACGTAATAGAAATTAATCTACACAAAATAGTTTTTCAGATGTTTGCTAAGATTTTAATTGTTGATCTAATAATTTGTACCTTCATTGGATTTTGACATTTTCACATGTTGTGACAGTCAACATTTTGTATTGGAGAAACAAGGAGTAAGTTACTTAATTTAAAGTTTCATGTTATGAGAACAGAACCTATGCAATAATTAGATGTTATTATGGCGATAGACTGTGTCTTGGGACACTGACTTGCTATAGGGGTAAGTAATGGAGCCAAGGAGGAAAGTGAGTTTTGTTGTTGTTGCCTATAAATCTGATTCAAGTTCAGAGGTCCATTCAGGATCAAGACAAAAGAAACTTTTGAGTGTGAGATAGCAAAGGAAGAGAAAGAGCAGGAGGAAGGTAGGCATGGGCATGTGCATGTGTGTGTGGTGTGTGTATGTGTGTATCTTCAAAAGCTTATCTCTTACATTTAAAAAAATATAATTAAGATATTAATACTGTGAGACAGCCAGAATAATCAGAGCCATTTTTTTAACCCCCTCCTCAGCATGAGCATACCAGTCTCTTTCCTTAGCCCCTATTCCCCCCACCCCCAATTACAGATACACATTCCTGTGTGGGAGGTAGGATCACATGTAATTTGAAAATACTTTCGGTGATTACCTGTTGTACTTTCATCCCTGTAGGAGGACCACTGTTTTCAAATCTCTAAGAAAAGATGTGCTTTAATACAACATAACTTATTTGATTTCATCCCCAGTTCATTCTTTCCCCCTCCACAGAGTCTGCCTTTTCTAGTATTGCCCACTTCCTGCTGTGGTTTTAGGTCTCCAGGAGGCCAAGAAGCCTTCTGATTCTAGCCAGGCAGGTTGCTCTTTGGATGATGACTTCCATCTTCATCTACCTCTGGAAAATGTGTTTGAAATACCAGGCTTCTGTTAATTGTCTCAAGCATGTTATGTTTCCTATGGATCCATTTTTAAGACTTCTGAACTCTGACCTATGTTATTTATTCACTATTCTGAGAATAACATGGTTGCCAGCACAGCTGTATATGTATTCACAAGATGACTTCATTTTCCACATTTCCAGTGACGTCCGTATTTTTGACAAAGAGTATAGAATAAGAGCTAGACAGAATCCTCATGTCATTAGGCAAACTAGTTTTAGAATGACTCCAGTGTCTAAATAGGTTGTGATTATTTTAGTGGTTTGAGATTTAAATGGAGGTCATGAAACAGTTTTGTCAGTTGTTTAGAGTATGAAAAGTGTCATGCAGCTATGTCATCAGTTCTGATCGCTAGTATGTAATAATTGGAGCAGTAACAGGAAGTGTTTCGACCAAAAGAAAGGACATCTAGAGGTCCTAGTGGTCATCTCAGTCTAGCTTTGTGACCATGGTGCTAAGTTTTCTGTTGGTTTTACTTTCTTCATTTTTGTAATGATCCCTTCCAGGAAGCTACATAATTCCGTGCCTCTCTCATTAAGCTTACAATAGTTCACTGGCAGTGCTTTGGGATGCTAGCATTAATGTCCCTGTGTCCCTGTCCCCTCTCCTTTTTAAAAATAAATTTCATTTTTCAAAAGGTACAGTTGGTGGGACCTGTCTGTGCATCTTTACTTGTAGTAGGGGCATCTCCGCCCTTGGTATTTCTGGCATAAATCACTTGAATGCCGTGTTTTGAAAACAGCTTAATGAATCCTTTACTAAGGAGTTCCTGAAGGGGGCTGCCCTGGCCAGGGAATTGTGAATCTTTAGTTTCTCAGAGACAACAGCTGGGGTTACTAGTTTATAGATGGGAACTTCCTTATAGAGTTTGTCACATGGGGCCCTTGTCAAACAAGACCAGGTTATTGATCTTAGGTCCCAAACTCTGCCTTTGGACTATTTCTTTTTGGTTTTGGCCGCAGATTTGTTCACTGGGTCTTTATCTTTCTTGGCTGACTTTCCTGCATCACGTTTTCTTCTTGTCCTTGGGTGGCATCATGAGGCTCAGAGAGCAGCTGCTACCGCTGCAGCCTCACTAAGATGAGGGACAAAAACATGGCCGCCATGAGCCACATGGTCCCTGACATTGCTTAGTTTCTTGTGTACATTCAAGATGCTTTTCTTGGGAGGTTGGGCGACTAAGAGAAAATGAAGGTTAAATAGAATGCAGTCATCTTTCTTTATTCCTGACATTTAAAAAAATACGACTAATTATACTGCTTCTTGAAATTATAAAGCTGTAATTATATATATATATTTATATATAGTGTGTGTGTATATATATATGTATATATATATAACCAATTGTGTATTTTTTAAGTGTGTTTAATTTGTATTCTTAGTAGCATGATTAGTTAATTTCAAAGTCTATAAACCCTTTTAGGGTAGATGGTATCATAGTAACTTAATATTTTTATTTCTGGATATTTTATCTTAAATCTTGAAAAATCATCTTATTCTAATTTCTGACTGCTGTCATCAGGTTGGCTGGCTTTAGGATGGGCTATCTTTGCTCAGGTGATTCTCAGATAAGATTGCTTGGTAATTAACACAGTTCGGGTTAGAATGGAAGAGCTTGTGGTTGAGCTGTAGTAAGTAGCTTCACTTATAAAGGTGCCATGATTTAAATCAAATCTTAGGAGTCCTCCATTTTATTTCTAAATTTCTTTATAGGTAAAATTACTAACATCCACATCTGTGTTGCACATACATTAATAAGAGCCTATGTAAAGTGTATTTCTACTAGTGAATGACAGTTTTCTGTATTGCTCCAGCACTGTACCTTATGTTTTAATGCCAGCTTGCTCTTACGTCACAGCTGCTGCTGAGAGCCAGCATACGTTCATGTTAAAATGAAGACTGTTAAGAAAGAGGAGAGTAGAGTGGAGGACTGTGTAGTGAGTAGCTGCCATGTAGTTGAGTTGAAACTTAGTGCGCTTACAGCTGAGAATGCCCAGTGGTGTGGCCCGTGTCTCCTCTGAACTAACAGCCAGATTGTTTGTAATTTCCCGTGCTATTTAAAACAGGGTTCTCATGTATCAGCCATCTTCTGTAAGGGTGCCCAGTGTGACTTCGGTTGATCCTGCTGCTATTCCGCCTTCATTAACAGACTACTCAGTACCATTCCACCACACGCCAATATCAAGCATGTCATCAGATTTGCCAGGTATGTGAAGAGTTCTTGTATTTTGTTACCAAGTTTTATTTACTTTTACTCTTAATCTGTGGAGCAAATGTAGTGTTGTAATTTGAACACAAATACTAAGGGAATTTGATGGTTTCATTTAAAGGTAGTATCTGTTTTAATGCATCACATTCAATTCCTATCATTTTAACTACAGAACAATCTATAGATTCCTAATGATAGGAAATATAATAGGATAGTAGGAAAATTTTATAGACTTTACTCTCCCTCCTAAGGAATTTGTACTCAGGAGATACTTTCTTTATCATAGAAGCTTCACAGGTTCAGGAGAGTGTTTTCTCATGATCTTCTCGGTAACCCGTCACAGCTTCAGAACATACTGCTGTACCATGGGGTTGACATTACCCGTAGCTTTAACCTGTGGGCTTTTTCTCCTCTGTAAAAATAGGATCTACCAGCTGTTTCCTTATGTGTATATTAACATTTGAAAAGTTCAGTGCTGCTTGAATTACCTTAGAACCAAGGCCATATTATAAAATTTGGAACTCCCCCTCCCGCCCTGTGCCCCCTTTTCTTCCCTCCAGAGCCATTGTTATTGTAGACATTTTTTGTCAAATTTGAGCAAGCCTGAAACCAGTGCCTCTTGTATTCATGACTTCCCTTCTTTCTGAGGGGCCCTTTTGGTGCAATACAGTTCCCTCCTCCTGTTCTTAATATTCTTTTCTAGATTTGTGAAGTTAATTTTGACCTAGAATTTATTTTTCTTACCCTCTTAATGAGGTCTTTATTTTAAGCACGGTATATATTCTGTTGGGCAAAATTTGTGTTGAAACAATCGGTAATTGTGTTATCTGGCCTAGTGTAATCTTGCCACTTGAAATTTATTCAAATTATCCGAATAAAATTTAATCAAGAGAAATAGACCAATAATAGTATCTATCAAAAATTTCAAAAAGCCTACTTAACTATGTTTACTCCATATGTACTTGGGGAATTGGTATTTGAAACATTGTTAAGCCCAGCCTGCACCAATTAAAAAATATTTGTTGTGTACAAAACTTGATGCCAAGATACAGGGGAGGTTTCTTGGTCCATAAGACAGATGGAACTCAGAGATACTTAATTCCTAATTGCCATGTTTTCCTTTAACTTTGTCTAGTTTTAAATGAGGTTGAGAAGTGTCCACGTATCGTCTTAGTATGTGTTATAAACAAGCATTCTGGAAGAATTTGTGTTCCTAAAAACCTTGAAATACAAATTAATGCTGAAAAAACTTTGTTTACTAAAGCAACCCTGGCCATTTAAGACTAGAACAGCTATAATTTATGAATCACTTGCTCTGTTAGTTTTCAAATTATGTGAGTCTGGATGAATTTTTAATTTTAGAGAATTTACATTATTTCAAAATTTGGGCATAAAGTGAGACTATTTATAAAGTGTGCAGATTTAAGAAGCAATAAGTTATGTTACCTGTATATTTTGTAAAATATATTTCAAGCTGGTATGAAGGAACTAAGACTAATATGCAGGGCTGATACTTGGCCAGTATAAACCAGAATGGGGATACTGGTTATTGAAGTGTTGAAATGCTTTCTTACCAGTTGATAAATTGAACAGAAAAGGATCTATTGTACTTTAGAAGAATTACCAGTTTATCATCATCTATGAATTATGTAGCAATTACTGCATCTAAATAGTTTAGTTTTTACTTTGGTTTTATTGTTAATGTGCTCTTTTGTAGTTAGTAATTATTTTGGTTTTATTTTTGTGCATAATTTTTATGTAATTAGTCTTGTGCAGAGTTTTGATACTTATACACTTAATAATTTATAATAAAATATTAAATAGAATATCAAGAATGGAGAGATGACAAAGTTTTAATACATTTCTTAACATTCCTTTTAAACATCATAAATATGAATCTTCTGAATCTGCAGGAGAACAAAGAAGAAATGATATTAATAATGAACTGCAGCTTGGAACACCTCCTGATACTGTGCAACAATGAATACAAAATAAAACAAATAATTTGTATTTATGGAATGGAAAACAGCTTGATTATTTCAAGAAAAAATATGACTGCCTTATTATTGCTAGTGCCATATTGTCAGGTGCGAATGGTGCTCAAAAGTTGTATCATTAAAATTGGAAAGTGCTAAACATTTACATATTTAGTCCTGTAGCAATCATGTTTTGTTAAAGTTCATGGCTCAAGTAAGGAAAATATGGTGTTATTAATAAGACATGTAGAGTCAGTTTCACATAAAGAAGCACTTAAAATCTAAAAACTACAATTTTATCAGTGATAATGAAACATTTAGAACGTACCATCAGAATTTTAACACTGCCTGCTTTTTAGTTAAAAATAATTGAGCATTTTCAACCATGAAATACTTAGGTGAGCATAAAAATATATAGTACAGCACACTGCAATTGAAGCTTATGGTGAAATAAGAAAACAGTATTTTACTAAACTACAAAACAAGGCAGTAACATTTTAATCCGTATTCATGAAACTCCATCTATTTCATATAGGAGCTTTAATAGTATACTTAAAATGTAAGATGCAAGACTTTGATAATAGTTTAAAGTTTTTTTGTCAGAAGGAATAACATCTGAAATACTGTATCGAACTTCAGTGTTAGTGTTTGAGAAAAAATGGTTCCAGTGAGAAATATTTACATTAAAACATTGGATTGTGTGTGGAGAGCATCTGTGTAATGCTAGGGACACAGTCAAGAGTTTCAGCCAATCTTAGAAACATTTCTGGTTGTTTTATTATGGCATATTAGAAGTCCCCATATTCAGTTATCCTTGGATAAGGTGTCAAAAGATACAGATGAAGTAAATGTCTTAAGTCTTGTATGAGTATATATCGACTGGCACACATGAAATGATCATCAAAGAGAATTATAGTACGTCTGAAGAGCTGGGAATTGAAATAATGAAAATATGAAGAATCTTTGCACCTTGATGGGCAGCCTCCAGTGCTGGAGCTGCACAGTTTGAAAATTTTATCAAGCCTGTATATTTATTTAAATTGCAGTTATGAAGTGGGAAGCAGTAAGCATTTAGAAAATGAGCATTTTTGAGTTGATTTGGCATCAGTACACAATATTGCAAGAGACAGTAATACTTTTCTTCAGCTTTATAAAAAAGGGTTAAGTTATTCAAATGGACTGAGCGATTCAACAAACATTAAAAGTGATTGAACATATAAAATTAAGTAGGCTATAAAAAGCAGAAGCTATTAAAGAAAAATGTTACACCATTTGAAGGAAAACCAAATTAACAAAATTAAGTCAATTAAAGGACATGCCAGTAAACTATCTTTGTGACTTAGTCAATAATAGAAATGTTGAATATATAAAATTCGGAAGGTATTATAAGGGCTAGACAGATTTTGAATTACTGTTCAGAAGTGGAGGATTTACTGAACAATACCATTAATGTGAAGAGAGAAACTCTCAGCTTACTGAGATATGTCATCTACTGATTATCAGTATAATGGGAAGTCATTGGAAAAGTTAATTGTGATCCCCTTTGTCCAGTGTTGGCTCAGACTCCCTTGTATCATAGAGCTAGTGACAGGCATGGAGTGAAAAACCGTATTTAAAAATGCTTTAGAAACTGAATGCTTTCTTTCAAATGATTGGTGCTATTCCTTGTATCACTTGATAAGCCTTTTTATCATATCCTTACAGTATAAGGGAATAAATGTACTTTAAAAGAGGTATAAATTATTCATACTGGTTATTAAATATTTTAAATATCATTTCCACAAATATTCTCTATTTTGAGTAACAGTCTAATATCAGACTTTTATTCTGTATGATTGTTATATTTGAGGTGACATTGAATGCCAGCATATAAAAGTTCATAGAATTGAACAGAAATTGGCCTGTCTCACTGACCTACACTTAGTAATTTTTTTTTAATGTCTTAAAATCTAGCTAGGTTTAGGGGGACTGATTTTGAAGTTTATTGCTAGACTTCTCAGAGTTGAATTTTTTATTATTTATTGTTATAATTTTAATACTTCAAAATTGTATTACTGGGCAAACTTTTCCACATTCCCGTTTCTAAAGCGTAATTGGAGAATCCCAGGTCTTTGGTTTAGAAAACTGCATTAGCTTATAACCCAGTAAGCCCTACTAAGATTTGACTTGTTAGTGAGCAGCAGTTAACCGAGTGCTTGCTTTGTGCGGAGCGTTGAACTGTGTACTACTCTTGATGTGGGGACAGGGTGACAGAGAGCGATCCATGAAACAGACATCTGTTTAAGAAGTGATATTTTAGAAGCTCAATGTGGTGTATTTCTAAAAAATAAATGTGAAGTATCTTAAGAGCCTAAGTATGTTTTTTTTTAATGGTCCGAATCCAGATCATTCTCTCATCATTTTAATTGCTTCTCATTCTGTTAAGTGATGAAGGGGAAAAGTTTGCTTTGACTAGTCTTACTTCTCTGGAAATTTTTGGACTGGTCCCTTTAAGTCTCTGAGAGGTGGTTTTTCCAGTTGTTTTGTGAGGGAATACGTTCATTTTGGGGTTTTATGCACTTTAAATATCACTGATTGTGGTGTTGAACTTCTCTGTGGCAGAATGGTAAGCACTTACCCAAATGTTTTATGACTCATGATAAATACAAAATGATTTTGGGAAATAATCTTGTCTCCAAAATATGAGACAACTATTAACAAAGCATTTTTGTTTTAGGTTTGGATTTTCTTTCCCTTATTCCAGTTGATCCCCAGGTATGTATCCTGAATTTAAGCAACTAATTTGTATATGATTGTTGGTTATGTCATACTAACTAAAAATGACCAGTTGCATAAAATCAGGACAGTCAACTTTCAGTTACTTAACTTGATGGAAATGAATTACTATATAAATACTTCACAATTTTATTTGGGGGAATAAAGTTGCTGTTTTTAAATTTATGGTATTTTTTACTTAATACCTGAATTTTTAATTATATTTTATTTAGTTTAATAATCAATTGGCATTTCTTTACAAGCACTTGAGTGATTAAAATGAGGGGAAGCAGTGATGACCAGAAGTTAAAACTTCACGGAGATTATTTGTGAAACGCTCGTTCTATATGTCGAAAAGAGCAAAGAGCGGAAGTTGGTTCAACAGGCTTGAATCATTAGCTTGATTCTTCCTTGTGTTTAGAGGCAGTCAGATTCAGACTTTGGGGATGCCCCAATCTAAAGTTGCTATAAACCAGTCATTCCTGTTTTCTCTGCCAGCGATAAGAAACTCAGTATCCTAGAGTCCCAACGTGGAGACCTGCAGTAAACCTGGACTGACAGGCATAGGGCAGAGGCAGAGCAGAGGAGGGGAGGGCATGGGAGAAGCGGAAGGGGGAAGGGAAACAGAGAGACTTCGAGAGAATTGCCAAGGGTAGGGAGGGCCAGAGGAAGACCCACAGACCACTGCTTTGGTTGCTAAGTCTCATAGTGGCCTCCTGTGTCAGGACTCTGTATCTGATCAGGAAAACAGCACTGGAAATTTGGGCCCAGGGTAACATGTGCAGAATGAGGAATTTCTTCTCACCCTGAGTTGACTTTGTTACATCAGCAGATTCTATAACAAAGGTAGCTCTATGTTTTTCTAGGAAATGGATTCTTCAGGCTTAAAATATTGCTGATTTTTATGAGAATCATCCTTTTAAAAAAATGGTCTTGGAACCCAGAGGGTTTTGATTTCGTAGTGCTATTTGGCATACTTAGTGTCAGGCTAACTTATTTGTTAAGCCAGTAGAAGGGTGAGGTGGTGCCTTCAGTTTTCCTGAGAATCCTTAGATTTTTTCCTCCTTTACCTCCATAGTGCCCCCTTAAGCCCTGTTATCTTTGTGCAGTTATGTGCCAATTATGCATGAAGAGTACAGAGTTAGAGGTGAAATGGTTGCAACCTGAATATTACAGGAATTCACAGGGCCTATTGATAGCAGGACTGTGGTCTCTAGCATTCATCTTATAAATAAGAGAGTACCTTTTTATTACCAGGCAGTCAAAAATGGCCTGAGAGGAAGTAGAAATAAAATGTAAATTTCTGGACTTTTTTCCAGATTGTTTCCTCAATATTAGTGGAAAATTAGAATTGATTTCATTTTAAAATAGTTTAATGCCTTACAATTCTACTCTCTTTAGAGCTTCTGAGAAGCTCTTTAAGAACTATTCCTTCTCCCCCAACCCTTAACCAATATCCATTTGATCTCTTTGTGCATGACATTCATTTTATTGATGAACCAAGACTGTTATCCATCCTAAACACTAAACTACTTTTTTTGGTAAGGCATCCTGAATTTTAGTTGTCGCTCTTCCACTGACTGGCAATGTAAGCCTGGGGCTGTCATTGCCGTTTTAAGATCTTTTGGTAGATCATGTAGTCGAAACAGCTTCAGTTTTAAATTCCTGTTTGGTGATTAGTACGTCTAATGATAGGCTGAAAAATTTGTAGAATTGATAATATTGATAGGATATCCTTACTGATCTTCTTTGATACAGTTAATCTAAAGACAAACTTTTAGGACTTCTTCTCTTGTATATACTGGACCTCACTTATTTTACTGAAGTCAGTGTTGTTTCTCACGTAAAATATTCTGTGGTGACAAAATAAAGCTGTTAGCTCCTATCTCTCTGCTCCTCTTGGACAATATTAGAGTATTAAACTCGGGTTTGAATTTGGGAGTCAGCAATCAAGATGGTAAGGAAACTTGAAATATGAGTTCTGAGAGGGTGGGTATGGAGTCTCACAAGGAAGATTATATTAGATTAGATCTTTAAGATTTATTCCAAAATTTTGTGATTATGTGGGATACTTCTCTATTCTGAACATCCTGTCGTAGTTAGCTACCATGTAGTCTCTGTTTTAGAATGAATGCTGTGTTCCTGATTACACAGGTATCATTTCATGTATGTCCAAAGGATTCAGAGTGGCACTTTTGAGTTGATCAATCTTAACATTATTCCTAAAGAGTCTGATTGATAGTAAAGTGTGAAAGTATTACTGAATTTTACATTGGCATTTTTGCTTAATACCATTAGAAATAAGTATTTGCTAGCCTTTTTGATGTGATTTAAACCTGGTATAAAACAGTTAGCAAATTCTTTTGGAGGTTAAGTATGAGTCATAATTGTGGGGCCAATATATACTATTAAATAATTTTGATTATTGTTGACATTTTTATACTTGTACCTATATATGTGGTCAGCAAACATTCTGCAAGATTTGAGAAAATGAAAAATATGCTGCACTCACTAAACCGTAAAAGAGCTAACTAAATTCATGCCACCTTCCATCCAAAGATGTGAAGTTTTGAGAAATTTCTAAATCCCACTGGGATTTAAATATGTGGCTATCACGTGTGCATATCTAACAATTTCTAGTCTCTTTATTTAAAATCAATGTAGCCTCTTCCTCATCGGCATCATTGTTTGTTTCAAGCAGTACTGTCCTCCTATGTTTTTGGATAGTCTCACCTCACCCCTAACAGCAAGCAGTACGTCTGTCACCACCACCAGCCCCCATGAAAGCAGTACTCACGTTAGTTCATCCAGCAGCAGGAGTGAGACAGGGGTCATAACCAGCAGTGGAAGTAACATTCCTGACATCATCTCATTGGACTAAAGGAAAACTCACTCGATTCTAGGAATCATTCATCAAAACTGTTCTTTCTTGGATCTCTGGTCCGTGGAAGCTATTTTTTTGGTAACAATTACTTTGATATTTATTGAAACGTCAGATGGATTCTTTTGCTTTCTGAGAGATGAACACAGATGACTGCAGCAAGAACCAAATGACATGCAAGGATTTTTCTTACTCATGCTGTACTCTGAGCATCAGATACATTTGGCCATAACTGTATCTTCTCCAGAGACGGATTTCAATTTCATATGTTACTGGATGGATTCTACACACATCGGTTAAATTTTTTTTTGTTGTAATAAACAGCAATAAAATTATGTAAATATTCAAGTAAACTTTTTTCTAACTAAAAAAGATGTAATCAATGATTCTAAAATGACAGCAACTTTTGTTTAACCTGATGTGAAGGAAAAATACATGGAAGGAAGTCATGTTTGCTGAATGAGTCCTTTCCACAGAGATTTGTTCTGTTTCATCGAATAATGAAGTCTTGCTAAGTGGCCAGAGCTTGGCTCCACTTTTCTTCTGCAGTTCCTCTTTTCTTCCTGATTCCATCAAAGAAAAATGGCCTTTGTGTTACTTATTTTTCCCTGGTTGTCATTTACACTTTGATGTTGTTTGCTAGCAGTTGCAAAGGGAAGTTCTGGGATTTGGCTGCTCTTTATCAGTGATGGTGCTGAAGAACACTATGCAGATCCTGCCCTGATGTGTGTTATTTTTGGTAATTGTACATTCTCATTCTAGAGATTTCTACAAAATTGGGCTTGCCTTCTCGAAAAAGAAATTCTGTGCAGCCATTGAATGTTGAATGAAATGTTTTTGGAGTAACCTGTGGCTAGAATGTTCGTTAGAATTTTGTTTACCCTGACCCAGCAACATTGAGAGCTTTTTGAGGCAGTATAGAAGAACAGATTTGGGGGAAGTGGGATTAACAAAGTTTAATCTCTTCCTAGGAACTTCTTTTACTCATTTATTTTATAGAATAATATACAGATCTTTGTTGAAACTTTTCACATTTTAGTAACACTAACAAAGCAGATACGATTTAGAACTCTGGTCACATCTGTCACCAGTACAGTCTCAGTGATGATTTTCAAACTTAATTAGAAGACACAAACAACAGCAAGGCATGGGGACTGCATCGGATTTTCTGGTCCTTTTTTTTTTTTTTTTAAACAAGGAAATCTTTCCTGATACCATGAAGGACACACAGAGTTAGAAGTGTGTGAATTTAAGGTGAGGAAGGTTTGGGGAGGATGGTGCTGCAGCCCACTTTGAAAACCACTCACTCAGAGTGTTCTTGATTTTAAATCCCTCAGGAGGCCGAGTTTTACCCTTAGAGAAACATTTCTATCCACATTTTATATTACCCTTTGCTTCATTTGGCCCCCTAAATTTTTGAGTTCTCAAGGAATTCATACTTCTCTAATGTTTATCTTTCTCCCCCTAACTGTATCTACTTTAAAAATAAAAATCCCTTTTTAAAAATGACTAATCTGATTTCTCAGACTTAAGTGCCCAGATGAAGAGTACCGATTTCAGTTAGAACAGGGACACATCATATTACTTCAGGGTTGATGTAACTCCAGGAAGCTGACTTGTCACTGCTTGGGTGGTTTTTGTTTTTAAACACCTCAAGTTTTCATGGCCGCTGTGCTCCTTTTGTACTGATTTAATTTTATGTGATTTTCTGCATCATCCCTCCTTTATCTACATCATCCCTTTATGTATTATTCCTTTTGGAGAGCTGCTTAATGAAAAACGTGGCAACAAACCAGAATCTTCTTACAGTGGTTGCACCATTGTTGCCGGTTTTACCTTCTTAGGCACTAGATTTCCAGTCCATGTTACAGGCCTTTGGTCCACATAGAGAATTTCTTCCTCGTAAAATTTTATGTTGCTGCTCTAAATACAGATGCAATCTCTGTTAACTCTGTAATCAGATAGAAAACGGAACTCCGATTTGTGTGGTATAATTTGTTAATAAATAAATGATGTATATTTGTTACCATTTTGTTACCCTTTAGATTTTCAGACTCCCCCCTCCCCAACGTAATCAACAAAGTTTTATAAGGTTAAATGAAAATATATTCATAGAAATTATTTACTTGGTTCTTGTAACCGATACCTCTGTGCTTTTATAGTTGTGCTTTGTTTCCTTTTTACTATTTTATGTGAACAGTTTTAGTGTTCATTTTTGGTGCTTTATACTGAAATTACATAAAATTTTAATTTATACAGGCGACTAACATTTTTAAAAATACACTTTTAAGTTTGTAATCTTAAAATTGGGGCTTTTATGTATATATCTTTGAAGGTGAGTACTTTTCTTTATGCTTTTGCCTTACAACAGCATGATCATTAAGTCATTATCCTTTTTTTTTTTTTTTTTTTTAAGCATGGTCACCAAATACTTCTACCGAGACCCTGACTTTTTAATAGTTTATTTTGCTTGCCCAGATTTCTGCTTAACCAAGTGTAATGCAGTTTCAGAGGAGGTTGTCTTAGCTGTTACGTAGATGTCAGCCAACTAGTGATTATGTGGAGTATCTTGTTTAAGGAAAGGAACTGCAGACTGCAGCTACTAGTCTCCTCTTACAAACGCTGAGGTAACAGGTGGTTTTGATCCTTATTCACGTAGAAATGTTAAGGCTTACCTTGATTTGGTGACTCCCGATGTTGTAATTGGTGTTAAATATAGCTTCAGAGCTAAACTCTGCTTACATTCACTAACTTTCTGACCCTTAGGTGAGCCACTTTAGGATTCTTGTAATTTCCATTTCTGCCCAGTAGAAGGTAAATGCCTTTACCAAAAGGTAAAAATACTTGGCATCTGTCATAGGGTAATTAATTATAAGGGTAAATGCAATATTAGCGTTAAATTTAGTTTATGTGGCATTTATCTTACAATGTGCCTCAGGAAAGCTGGGATGAAAATACTATGATTAGGGGAGGATTGTAAGTATAGTAAGTAAGTTGAGCCATGACTCTTGACATGAAACAAGTTTCCCTAGGGTAGAATCTTAAAAGAGTTTGAAGAAAGATTAAAATGTTGGATTTTAGGTGAAGTGGTATTCAACAGAGACTATTCAGGACTTGTTGACATTAGACCTTTCAGGCGTTCTGCCTTCAGGCCAGTCCTGGACACTAGTCACTTAGTAACCAAGTCTGTTTTTCTTCCGCTAATATTCATTAGTTACATTTTATCTTTTTAAGTAAATTTGATTTTTATAAAATAGCATTAGTTTAATTCTCATATACGCCTTTTATTTCTCTTTAGCCCCCAATTGGTACAAAAGCAGTTCACTATGTACTCCCCCCCCCCTTTTTTTTAAGTAAACACTTGTTTTCCTAATTTTTTTCATTTTGAAAAAATGCAGAGCTGTGCGTCATTTAAACTTGGGTGTGATGTGTTTTGTGGCCCCGGATTCCACGTGCTCTGGGAGCTTATTGTCAGGAAGATCTGTGATTGATGATTCAATCTGATTCACCCATTTTTTCTGCTGCAGTTCTACATGAATATGGTGAAACTTGTGGAAAACAATTTAAGAATTTCTCTTTTTTAAGAGCCTGATGCTCCTGTCAAATGAATGACTTGGTTTGTAAGCCCCCCCTTTTTTTGTTATTAGGAGCCACACTCCCAATTCCTAGGAGAAACAAATAAAGCTATATAAAAGTGCCCATTCTTCTTTAATGCTTGCCTGATTCAATAATGTTTTTGTTTTTTCTATTTATGTCAGTAATGCATGCTCACTGTGGAAAAATTAGACCATACAGAAAAGTATAAAAAATAAGCACTTTGACATTTTTGCATATTTCTTGCCAGTCTCTCTGCTACTCATGAGTGTTTTTACATAGTTTTATTCATTCTCAATATAATTTGGGTCTTGGTTTTTTTCTCAGTCTACACGTCATTAAAAACTCAACTTTTATTAATTGCATGATATTCCATTGTATGGATGTGCCATGATTCACATAACCTTTCCCCATTGGACATTTTAGATTGCATCTCATAAAGTTACAGTGAATGTCTTTGTGTATAAATTATTTCCTTAGGATGAATTACTAGAGATGGAATTTCTGGGTCAAGGATACAAACAGTTTTGTAGTTCTTGATTCATTTTTCCACATGATTTTACTGATTTATACTCCAACCGTATGATATGAGAAGAACTCTTTAACCATATTTTCCAAGAATATACACCATTCATCTCTGTGCTGGCATCTGCACTAAGACCCTCTGCCTTTCTGACCCTGGTGAGCTGGGCTGATTTGGAAGTAATTGGCAAAGATTTTCCCGGACTGTCTCAGTTTCAGCTTCATCTATTTGACATGTTCCAGATACACCTGCCTAAGGATATCCAAATAATTTTTCACATAATTTTACTTGCCCTGTGAAATAGCCCATTGTCAGACTATGTTTTCTATTTTTAGTTAGAAAATCTTGACACTTTTTTTTTTTTTTAACCATTTGTACCTAGGGCCAGCCCTTAGTAGCCAGCTTTCTTTTTTTCCTCTTTCTGTAGGCTCCATTTTGGGCTTTCTCAGCTCCCCAAAGCCAGTAGGATCTCCTGAGCCAAAGGCAGTCCAAGCCAAACTGGAAGCGTGGTAAGGCTGACCAACAAAAGCAGGGCCGAGCTTCGCTTGTTTCACTTTGTATTCTTTTGTGTTTCCAGTGACATCTGGGTGTCCTAAGGGCAGCTCTGTGGCAAAAACAAAAAAACAAACCCCCCCCCCCCAAAAACAGATTGCTATTTCAAATGTTCAAGGTGTATTATTTTCTTGATTGGCATACCACATAATTTTCCAGACTGCTTTTTATTTCAGAATGGCTTTTAAAGCTGCTTCATTCTGTGTTCTCAAAGCTTAACTCTTTTAAGTGAAGAAGAGGGTTGTGTTATAAAATAGAACATGTCTCTTATTTTGGCCTTCACCAAACTATTCACATATTCAGTGTGTCTTACAAATGTGTGTGGGATAGAGTAGAATAAAAGATCTAGTCCCAGACTTCAAAGGGCTCCTAATCAGCTTTTCAAAAATAAAGGGTTCTTACCTACTAACAGGCATTGTGCTAAGAATTTTACAAAAATGTCTCATTCCTTACATTTGCCCTACAAAGGAAAGTGGTATGGTCCTCATTTTACAGATGAAGGAATAGATTTAAGTTTCTCAGTGGACTTGGGAGTCTGAAACAGACCTACCTCAAAAGCCCTCTGATTAAATGGAAGTGACATTAATCAGCTAGGTTATTTAGGAATCTAGACCTAAGATTATAAGAACTGATTTTAGGTGATGGCCACAGGAATAAGGAAGGAGTGGACCCTGAAGCCATTTCAAAGGAAGACTCCAGATTCAGTGGCGTGAACAGATGAGTGAGGGCTGAGTCCATTTCTCAAGCCTGGGTAACCAGGATAATGGATCTGTTTACAGAGAGAGGATGCAGTTAAAATAGGCATTAGTCATTTAGGGGAGGCAATGAGGAGTTTGATGTTAAGCATGAGATTTCAAAAGGGAAGGGCCTATGAAACTCATGTTTGCTTTTCTGCAGTCTTGAAGATGTGAAGCCTTCCTTCATTGTTTCCACTCTCACTGGTCTCCATTCTGTAGATCTAGTCCCTCCCAGTTGCCCATCCACTCTCTCTGCTAAACCATGCTCACTGCGTCTCCACATTTCCTCTGGATTTTTTCTCTTCACTGCCTTGTTACCTCAAGTCTGGCCATACCCTGCATCTCTCACCAGTGTGGGCTGTGTTTACATTCCACATAACTGAAGAAGTGGGTGGCTGCTGCCCTTCCTCTATTGTAATTTCTAAACATTTCTCCCCAGGCCTGTGACAAAAATCTGCCCCATTTGCAGCCCAGGCGAGGTTTTACTGTTAGCTGCTTGTACTCTTACCAAGTAACCTGACCACGTCCTTGGATTTGCTGAAGGCTTCATTTCCTGACTCAGTGTTTCTTGCCATCTCTAACTTTGTAGTCCTTCTCAGTCTTCAACGTTTTGATGGATGATCCATCCAGCAGTCTAGCTTGTGAGATTTTTGGTTACTTCTGATATTTTCTTGCACTGAAACGCCCAGTTTCCTCTGTAGTTCTTGTCTACCTTAGACTGCTCCTCCATTATTACAGCCTCAAAAGTATCCCCAGATCCCTCCTTCAGGGTCAACCATCCGTCCTTTGATTTGGCATCACATGCTGCTTTTGCCCATTCTTGTCGATTATTACAAATGTTACTCCTTTTCAGAACACACCTGTCTCCGCAGATGACCTTGCTTCCTAATGCACGCAGAAGATTCAGTTTGCCAGCGTGATTTCTCTCCACCTGTGCCCATCTTCATTCTCCTTCATTCCAGTCTCAGAGGATGAGGTGGGCCTTCAGGCCAGTTCAGCCCCATGGACTTCTGACTCTTGTTTCCTGTCATCTTCAGGACCTTCATCCCACTCCTCCTTTTCTGAATGTCTTTCACTTCTCTGCTGCTGCTTTTGGCTTACAGAAGTCTCAGTCATCAAATACTAGGTCCTGTGTTACATGCCAGGCATTGTATCAGGCACTCAGAACACAGGATAGATAAATACCTAACCTTCACCAAAGTTGTGATTCAGTAGAATAAAGATGAGTGAAATAGGGAGATTACAGTGCAGTGGTAAAAGGCAAAATAGAGGGTGCTACGGTAGCACGTAGATGAGGCAACTGGCTGATCGTATGGAAGTGTCCGATGAGTAGGACCATGGCAGTTGATTAGTTGTCAAGAGAACCGAGAATGTTCAGAATAGCTGCATGTTTGTGTAAGAAATCATGCCGGGCCTTATAAAGCAGTGAGAAGGCACTGAGGAGTTCTCGTGATCATTAACAGTTGGGCAGCATTGGTTGAGTTTGGTATGATTGTCTCCATTTTACAAATGTGGGAACAGATCATGAGAGGGTGAGTGACTTGTTTGTGGCCCTGCAGCTTGTGTGAGGCAGGTGAGGTGAGGCAGGCTTCAAATCCAGCTTTTAACCACCTCAGTCTGTTCATGATCATTCTATCTAAAAAGTAGGTGTTAACTATCCTTTATCATATCACTGTTTATATTTCTATATGGCACTTGTCACAACCTGTGTTTATATGTTGGTTCACTGTGTATTGTCTGTTTCCCTTACTAGATTGTAAGCTCCGTGAGGGCAGGGATGATCTCATGTCACATGCATCCCAGAGCCTAACAAGGTGTGTGGTGCATAGTAGGTGCTCAATAAATATTTATAAATGAAGAAGTGGTGGATAACTGTTTGTATTTGACTTGTGCTGACAGGGAAATAATTTAATACCCGAGCAGCAGGCTTTCACCAAGAGAGGAAAACAAGAGGAAATACATGTTTGGGGCAGAGGATAGAGGTGACACATGCTTGGGATTTGGGAGGAAGTCAGAAGACTCCAGAATCTTTCAGGGGCAAGCACTGGGAATGGGGAATTTTAGGGCAGTGCACACTGAGGAAAATAAGGTGAAGTAGGTATTGTATTTAAACCTGAAAGCCTAAATGACCCCCTTGCAGACCCAGTCTCCTGTGTGTGTATATGACTGGGAAATTTGTATAATCTATATACATAGGACCACTCATCTGGGTCAGGTACACCACACTGAGTTACACAATACAATTGTAGATGTAGCTCTGATTTATCAACCTCAGTCTCTCAAAGCTAACAATTTGACCCAAGTCGTCATTGGAGTCTGTACTTTGGAACTGGAGCAAGAATCAGTTAACCCAATGTTTCTGGAAATCAGGCCCACATGCCATTAGATGAGCAACAGGCTTATCCTGTAACATATGGGTAGTATTGAAACCATGAAAATGCAAGAGCTCAACCTGAGAAGTCAGTGAGAAAAGAGCTAGGAAAGGAACACAACAAAGAGATTGAGAAGGAGCACCTGAGGTAGAAAGGAAATCAGGAGTGATATTACAGAGTCCAAAACAATAGAGCATTCCAAGAAGAGAGTGGAGTTAAAAGCTTCTATAATGTAAAAAGTATCCAGTAAAAGAACTAATTTCAGAAACACTGTATTTGATTGAATCTATACCTGATTGATTGTAACAACTTTGTGTAAACAAAGGGAAAAACCTAATTAAACTAGGACCCCATTGCTTTCAACCGCATTGATTGTAAGATAAAGCTCATTAAAATGTGGGGGAGGAGTGAATATGCATCCTGGAATTTAAGAGTTATGATAATCTGTATCTTCCTTTGGTTTTCTCAACCTGGCCATATCTAGTAATTTCACCAAGAACAAGTTCAGTGGAATGATGAGGGTAAATCTAGGTTGCAGTGGGATGAGGACTGCAAAGTACAGAAATGAAGTGTGCAAATATAGACAACTCAGCTGGTCTGATGAAGGGTGAGGCTGTAGCAGTAGAAATGTGTATGGTGGAGGGAATTTATTTTTTTTTTTTTTTAAAGAGGGGAAAAACTGGAGTCTTAAGTTTCCATGCTAATTAGATGCAGACGGTAGGAGAGGGAGAAGTGAATGTGGGTAGTGCAGTAGGGGTTGGCCAAGATCATTGGTACATCTAGGTCCCTGAGCAAGAGGGGGAAGTTGGGATCCATATCAGAGGCAGATGAGGGATGGATATGGACACAGTTGTGTCAGGTAGCAGAGAGTATAATGTTTTCATCTAATGGTTTTGCTTTTATGTTTTTGAGAACCAAGTGAAATGGCCAGTTCCAGAAATGGGAAGGAGGTGAGAATGGAGGTACAAAGTCAAGAGAGATAGAAATAGCAAGTGTTAGTGAGGCTGTGGAGAAAAGGGAACTTTTGTGCCTGTGGGAATGTAAATTGGTGCAGTTACTCTGGAAAACAGTATGAGGGTTTCTCAAAAAATTAAAAAGAGACCATATGATCCAGCAATTCCATTTCTGGGTATTTATCTGAAGAAGATGAAAACAAATTCAAAAAAAGATATATGCACCCCTATGTTTGTTGTAACCTTATTTGCACTAGCCAAGATAGGAAGCAACCTAAGTGACCTTCAGATTGAATAGATTCAATAGATGAATGGATAAAGATGTGTATATACACACAGTGGAATACTATGCAGCCATAACAATGGTGAGATCTTGCCATTTGCACAACATGGATGGACATAGAAGGTATTATGTTAAGTGAAATAAGTCAGAAAGACAAATGCCATATGATTTATTTCACTTATATATGGAATCTAAAAAAATCAAAAGGCAGAAACAGACATACAAATACAGAGAACAAACTCGTGGTTGCCAGAGGGGAGGGGGTGCAGGTATGGATGAAATAAATACGTGAAGAGGATTAAGAGGTACAAACTTCCAGTTAGAAGTTAGGGATGAAAAATATAGAGAATATAGTCAGACATATTGCAACAATTTTGTGTGTTAACAGATGGTAGCTATACTTACGAGCATTTCATAATGTATGTAATTGTTGAACCACTCATTTTACACCTGAAACTAACATTGTATATCAACTAGAAATTTAAAAAGAAAAGACAACAGAGATAGTTTGAAATAGTCTTAGAATGGGAAAGAGAATGGGCTAGAACAGCAATGAGCTGGACACTATAGGTTTAACAGTGGCATCCGTTTTTCTGTGGGACTTTTCAGCAGTGCTCATTGGTAAAGTCTACTTATTCAAGGCTGGGTTTTTGTAAAGTTGGTGCAACAGAAGAATGACAGGAATAACATCTTGAGGATGCTGGCAAGTAGTTGACACAAAGCTCAGCTGCTGTCACACTCCTGAAATTACTCTTGCTGAAGTCAAAATGTGCACATAATTGTCAAGTTCCGTGGACTTGACTTTCAACTTCAACATCTGCATTTGACACAGTCTCTTCTGTTCCTTGGTTTTTGTGACAACACAATTCTTTTTCTTATTACTCCAGGAACTCCTTTTCTTCTCTCTGCTACATGTGGGTGTAACTTTGCTTGGTTGGCTGCCTCTCCCAGCCACTTGACCCACGTTCCTTGTTACACTGAACTACTCCGCTAGGATGTAAGTTCCACGAGAGCTAAGATCTTTGTTTCTTTTGTTAACCACACTCTTGTAAGTGTCTAGAATAGTTTTACTTTTAACCTATGTCATTATATTTGAGGTGAGTTTCTTGTAGATGGCATATGATTGGTGTTTGTTTTTTGTAGAACCTTTATTGAGCTATAATTCACATATGGTTTTAGTTTGCAAGGGCTGCTATAAAACTCATAAGGTGTCAGCAGGGTCGGTTCCCTCTAAGGGCCTTGAGGAAGATCTATTCCAGGCCTCTCTCTGGCTTGTAGATGGTCGTCTTCACTCTATGTCACTTCACAGTCTTCCCTCCATGCCTGTCTCTGTGTCCAAGTTTCCCCTTTTAATATGGACACTGTTTATATTGGATTAGGGCCCACTGTAATGACCTCATTTTAATTTGATTGCTTCTAAAGATTCTATCTCCAAATAAGGCCATATTTTGGTGTTAGAACTCCAACATAACTTTTTTTGTGTGGGACACAATTCAACCCATAACACACATGTAGCTCACTCATTCAAAGTGTACAATTCATTGGTTTTTTGTATATTCACCGAGTTGTGTAACCATCACAACTTTTTTAGAACATTATCCTCACCCCCAAAAGAAACTTTGTACCCATTAGCAACCACTCACCCCTGGGTGAAGGAAGAAGTCTAGGCTTTCCATTCAACCTTTGCTGACGGGTAGCGATGGAACCCAGAGTTTTTCCTGTGGTGTTTGACTAGAGTGATTATTGTCTAAAGTATTTAAAAAAAAAAAAAAAACTAAGATATCAGAGTGTTTTGTTTTCTCAATTAAAAGGCCATATGGCAAGTGTTGGCTAATAGAAATCTCTAAGGAAAGAGCTTCTGCAGATTGCTAGAACTACTTGTAAGAAACATACAGTTAAAGGGGCGCCTGAGTGGCTCAGCCATTTAGCGTCTGCCTTCGGCTCAGGTCATGATCCCAGGGTCCTGGGATCCAGCCCCGCATCGGGCTCCCTACTCAGCGGGAAGCCTGCTTCTCCCTCCCACTCCCCCTGCTTGTGTTCCCTCTCTCGCTGTCTCTCTCTGTCAAAAAATAAATAAAAATCTTTAAAAAAAAACAAACATACAGTTTAAAATGGTGGTTAATCTCAGGTTGTGTGAGATGATTCTGTTAATCTGTTGTTCATATGGCATCTTTCTTTCTTCTTTCCTTCTTTCCTTCTTTCCTTCTTCCTTTCTTCCTTTCTTCTTTCTTTGTTTTTTGCAAAGCTCTTTAAATTTCAGTGAACTCCATGTTGATTACGGACTCGGAATAGATGGGTAGCCTTAGTGTGGTTTTGTCATCCCCTTCTCCTTGGCAGCTATGGCAGAACAATACCAGAGAAGGATTTCAAAGGTGGAGGAGTAGGAGAAAGCGATATGTGTATATCTCTTCTGAATACAGAAGTAATACTCATTACACACACACACACACACAAATCTGGGGCACCTGGGTGGCTCAGTCGTTAAGCATCTGCCTTCGGCTCAGGTCATGATCCCAGGGTCCTGGGATCGAGCCCCGCATCAGGCTCCCTGCTCCACGGGAAGCCTGCTTCTCCCTCTCCTACTCCCCCTGCTTGTGTTCTCTCTCTCGCTGTGCCTCTCTCTGTCAAATAAATAAATATCTTAAAAGAAAACAATCTGAAATTAGGATTAAAGAGATAATTCACCCAGAGAGAATTATATTTTTAGCCTCACATTTGTTTTCTTTCAATTTGCTGCCTATTTGTTAACATGAAAGCTTCATTAATAGGCATCTCAAGAGATTATAACTGTTTGAGACTTAATTGTTTCTTAAATCATATTCCTGTACCTCTCATCGGAGAAAAGACAGAAAGTCTAGCAAAAGCTCTGGCCACTGGGTTTGGTGATGTGGAAGGCATCAGGGACCCTCACAAAGGCAGTTTCAGTAGAGTGGTGAGAACGAGAGCCTGACTTGGAGGGGCTCATGAGGCAGTGGGGGAGAGGAAGTGAAGGCGGTGGTTCCTGGCAAGCATGCAGCGATTTTTAATGCTGAGGCCTAAGGTATGTTCATAGAAGGGGTGCTGAGGTCGGGGAGGAAAGGCAAGATTTTTAAAGGAGAGGATGTCAAGGAACTGAGAGGCCAGGGTTGGAAGGGCCATCCATGCAGATATTGAGATCACCAAGAAACGCAACAGGAGTAGTAGTGGACAGAGGAACTGAGCCAGGGGCTGGCTTCAGGGAGTGGTGAGTGACCTGCAGGCCCGTAGATGACTG